TGAGAAGCTAGATGAGGTACTGAGTGGGCAGGATTGGGAAACCATAGTTGAAACAAATAATGTTGAAATCGCCACTGAGAACTTCATGGCTATCATAAAAAATTCGCTCAAAAGTTCAGAAGAGATTAAAATTGTAAGGTATAAAGAAGAAAAAAAAATAAAACCTTGGATCACTTCTGCTATTGTCACATCAATAAGGCATAGGGACAAAATGAAAAAGCAGCTTGCAAAATATTTCAACACTGATCATGAACAGAGATACAAAAAATATAGAAATTGTCTTAATAAATTAATATACAAATGTAAATGTGACTATTTCAAAAAAAAAATTGAAAGCAGTGGAAAGGATTTAAAAAAAATGTATAAAGTCATAAATGAAGCCACAAATCAAAATCCCATAAAAGATAAAAACAGTTTACAGATAAAGGACCAGGGCAATGATTTTTTAAATAATATTGACATGGCAAATTATTGCAATGATTATTTTGTGAATGTTGGAGTAAACATGCTAGAAAAAATAAAAAGCCCTGTTGATGGATTCCAGTTGCATCAAGCTTCCTTACCTAGCCCCTCAGGCTCTATGTATCTCAAACCTGTTAATAGAAATGAAATAATTGAACAAATATACTCATTAAAAAACAATTGCGCATCTGGCATTGATGCAGTGGACTCTAGATTCATTAAACGTTTTCATAATTATCTAACTACCCCTCTAGTACATATTATAAATCTAATTTTCAAATTTGGTAAAGTGCCTGCACATTTTAAAATGACTGTTGTATCACCTATATTTAAATCAGGAGAAAAAACTTTCATAAATAACTATCGTCCGATTAGTGTAATCAATAACTTCGCAAAAATATTCGAAAAATGCCTAAAAAATAGATTGGTTGAATTTTTACAAAAAAATAATATTCTTTCAAAAAGACAATTTGGCTTCACCAGTGGCTTAAGCACATCGGATGCTGTATATGAACTTACAAGATCATTAACACACAACCTTGATAACAACAAAAAGTGTCTTGCTGTATTCTTAGACCTCGCGAAGGCATTTGACACGGTTCCCCATGCCTCCCTCTTGAATGTTTTAAACATGTATGGAGTGAGGGGAGCTGTGCTGGATGTCTTTGTGAGCTATCTAACGAATAGAGAACAAGTTGTGAAAATTGGCACGACTCACAGCAATCCTTTAAATGTAAAGATAGGAATTCCACAGGGAACAGTACTTGGTCCAATTCTCTTTATTGCCTATATAGATTCTCTGACGAATTTATTCATAGAAAACGGTTCGTTGATATCATACGCTGACGATACTGTTGTGATTTTTTCGGGAGATACTTGGGCCCAAACCAGGGATTTGGCAACACAAGGTTTATTAAGGGTGAAACACTGGTTGGACTCCTTTAAACTCACTTTAAATGTAGATAAGACTCATTACATAGCTTTCTCCATAACTGCTGCAAATCGCCCCGAGTTTAATTCTATCAACCTTGAAGCCCTAACCATTAAAGAAGTACCTTTTACTAAATATTTAGGAATAACTATTGACAAACATTTGAAGTGGGACCAACACGTTTTGAAACTGACCTCTAACATTCGAAAATTAATACATAAATTTTATTTATTGAGAGACATTCTCAGCAAAAACCTTTTAATTAATGTCTACAAATTCTTGGTCGAGTCTTTAATAAGGTATGGCATAATCGTGTGGGGTGGTTTATACAGGAGCTCTCTGAAGCAGCTAAACGTAGTGCAGAATTATATATTGAAGGTTATATATAGGAAAAAAAAGAGGTTTTCAACTGAATTATTGTATTCTGATGAAATATTTGATGTTCGCTCCTTGTATATCTTGTTTTCATGTATTTATGTTCATAAATCTTCAGATCTAAAAAAAATTATAAATCATTCCTATGAAACCAGAAATAGAATGAATGGGCATTTAGTTTTGCCAAATGTAAATAAAAATATAAGTCATAGGTATATTGGTTATCTGGCGCCAAAGTTCTATAATCTGATCCCAGGTGAGATAAGGCAGATATCGAGCATTGGGCGATTTAGCAAATGTTGCAGAAGATTCATTTATGAGAATGCTCCTCGATTTGGATGGTTCAGGTGATTGTTGGTTGTTGGTGTTAGAAAAAATTAAAAAGAAATATATATGGAATATATATAAAAAAAAAAAAAAAAAGATGGAAATATGTATGTTATTACTACAAGTTGATTTGTTTGGTTGTTGAACTGTTTTAGTTTTTAGTATAGTTTAAGTTAGATTAAGTATGGTATCAAAACTATTTTTCATAGGTACTATATTTTCATTTTACATTTTTACATCCAGTGTGTTTTTCTTTGAGAATTACCGTATGATTCTATGGGCACATACAGCTAATAATTTGGCTAGGTGCACAATTAAAAAAAAGAAATGATTAGCTATATAAGGAATTATTGTGATATATTATAAAACTGTAAATTTCACTCCATAATATTGCTTAAATATATTATTATTATTATTATTATTATTATTACATCTCCAAAAAAAGGCATTGATAAAATTAATTAATGAATCAGATTAATTAATGAAATTAGATAAGATTTAGAAATGATCAAAAATCCATTTTCTGAAAAAGAGAGGATTTTTGCTGTAAAGTTAACTTTACCGCAGACACTATGCGGTAAAGTGCACTTTACCGCATAGTGTGCGTTTAAGTGATACTTTCCATTTGCAAATACGTGCGGTAAAGTGCACTTTACCGCACGCTCGTAGGTAATAGCTATTTACCTAACAAGTGCGGAAAATGAATTTTTCCGCACGCGGCTGCCTGTAAAGTATCACTTTCCGCATTTGTTAGGTAAATAACTATTCCGCACTGACAGCCGTGCGGAAAAACTTTTTCCGCACTGATATGCGTGCGGTAAAAGTTTTACCGCACCGTGCGGGAAAACTCATTTTCCGCACGCATATCAGTGCGGAAAATCGATTTTTCCGCACGGCTGTAGGAAAAGGCATTTTACGCATGTGTTAGGTACAAAAGTATACATATGAGCATCTATATTTCATTTTAACACATGAGCATCTATATATTTACCAAAGAATGCATTATTGAAATTTCTGAATGAGAAAGGATTTTTGAGTGTACCTGAGCACCGAATCTATAGGTTTTTTACGTTATATTTAGGATGACGTCAGAAAACAAGGACTGACAATGTTGTCAATGTCTATTTGTTTTCTTATCATTTACCAGAATCTCATAGTGAATTATCAAGACCCTTGACAGCTAAAAATAACGAAATGAATCGACACCGTAATTTATCTGAAAATGTTCATTTAAATCATACAACATCGCGCGCCGTTGCCAACCAGAAACATCTAAAATTCCCCTACTTTAAATGCGTTGGGAAGTAGTTTTAGTTTTGTTAGATTTGCAGCAGAAATTTACTAAATGTGATGTCATCCTAAACATAGCGTGAAAATCCTATACTTCACCGCATACTATGCAGTCTACTTTACTGCATATTTTCACACTATGCTTTAAAATGGTCATGACCAATGGTCACATTGAATGTGACGTGACGGTCATGACCCACCGTCATGCGCGCTGATCATGACGCACTAACATCACTGACGGCAACCTTATTCTGTAACTTGCAACCAAGAGAATTGCGCAATTATCGCTGTCCAGTCGCTGTCAAACGCGAGTTTTCTATTCAAAAAATGCAAACTTGCAACCGGTTGCTGGTTGCTATGTAGTTGCAGTTCGTAAAGAATAGGCCTGCGGGACCTACTTTCTGATAGAGCCTATTATGATTTGAACGAGTATTATCAAGACAGATTTTAGGCAATGATTTTAGGCAATGATTAGCATGTTTCTAACTTTGTATGTTTTGAATAACTGTGATAGAATGGGTTTCTTTTTTAATTTTATTATTTTGTTCGGTATTTGTACTTATTTAAACCTGAGTTTTAAACTTTATGTAATTGTAGTGTCTTTCTATTTAATAAGTAACTTATTCAGTCGTGGAGTTTATAGTTTTATGCAAGGAAATACTCAATAAGTTAGGTACCCATATATTTTTTATTATATTAATTTGTACATTTACCAAAGATCAATTTAGATTTAGATTTAATCTCGACTTTTAAAGTTTGTGTAAACTATGGTGTCTTTTTTTGTCTTATTTAAAACTAATTTATCGTTAATATTAATCTGTAATTTTATTTGATCAGATGGTTATTCTTACCGTTTATTGTAACTGTCAGCAAAGCACAGTCTATTTTTTTTAAATATACTGTGCTTTAGCTAAATATTAGAGCTGTTAAATTTTCTTCCTGTTTCCGACGGTTTTTAAATAGTTTTGTTAGTTGTTAAGTTTTGCTTTGTCCACAAAACAATTTGTAATGTTTTTATGACAATAAAGCACACTATCTATCTATCTATCTAGAATGGTGGATCCATCGGTGAAATTTGATGAGAATAAAAACGCAGGGTTTTTCTCCAAACATCAAAAAAAGGTCACTTTGTTAATTAATTTCTATGCTGCTAGGCACTCAGCGGGTTAACACCTGTCGAGGTCGTAGAAATTTAATTTCTATGCTGCTAAGCAACCGCAACGGCATTAAAATTACTTTTAGTGCCGCTGGAGTGGCAGCAAAATTACTTTTAGTGCCGCTCGTACTTTTACTGCTGCTCAACCCGAGGCTCGACCATTCAAGTTACCCCCGAGCTTACCCCATTCGTTTGGAGAAAATTAGCGTGTTACATACGGAGTAGAAGCACTTTTTTATGCGTCAGCACAAAAAAATAAAGCTTCTACTCCTAATACAACAATTATACTATTTTGTGTTGGTGGAGGTCTTTGGTTGGTGGCAAGATCAAGATAGTATCAACAGTTCATTGGTATCAACACCAGCAATGTCATAGTGACTCTGTGACAGTGACCTCTCATCTCATAAATGAAAATTGCTGGTGATTATACTTGATCTGCACTTTCTACACTCTTCTTACCTGGCTAAAAATTTGTCACTATTTTGGTTGGTTACTACTGTCGTGGTTTTAATTAGTACACTATCCCAAGCATTGATTACATCTCGGAATCTCCTACAAATCAGTCTTAATCGACTCAAGTCTCGTACATCCAAAAAATTGAAAATGTAAATTAATAATTCAGTGGACAAATCATCGAAACAACATTGAGACATTAGAAAATTTGCTGAAGCAATCAAAAACGTATATATATTTTATATAATTGGAGTTAATTATATTTTAAATTAAGTAACAAGTTGAAAGTTCTAAGTTCTACTAAACAAAAACAAACAAAAAAGCCTAACCTATAATAATTTAAATGTCAACACTTCTTGATTCTTGTCAACAACAGCCAGCTGTAGTTCGGCTTTACACTCCAGCTAAAACGAACAGGAGCAGATCGGCGAGAGTATCGAGCGTACGGTAATCCGAGTGATTTTCGTACTACCGTGCGCTTGATACGTGCCGAGGTCGGGTACACCGAATGCGGGTTACTGGACGCTCGATACAAACATGCACCCCGCATGCGTCATCAAGTTACCCGTTACCAGACAACATATTTACCTTTAGGAACCTTGGGCTGTATCCTCGAATGGCGGCATGCGCAGAAGAGATGCGCGAAGCGCGTGAGAGTTATCTGCTGTTTGTTTTTGAGTTTTTGTATATACTGTGCTAATGGTACTGCTTATTGAGCTGAAAGTGTCCACGAGACCACAGTATTTCTGACGTCAGCTGCAGAGCTAACTGTCGGCAGAGAATGCATTATCCGAGTCCAAAAAACGAATTTATAAACGTTGAAATCGCCTTTTCTAAATTTGAAATTCCCAAAAAAATAACTCACAAGCACAGCCTGAATCGCCACCAATCCACCGAGGCATGCGGGTGACGTTGCCACGATCAGCTGCTCATAATGGTAAATGGTGACGTCACTTGCAGACCAGCTGCCTACTCGAGAATTGGCGAGCGTACGCCTTATTAGGATAAGCAATCCTGCGGATAATGAAAATGAGGTTCAGCTCTCAGAAACACCTGCTAAAAAACGTAAAAAACACAGATACAAGATTTAATAATAAAATTTCTATTTCCTATGGATGTAAAATCATGTCTACTTTATCAAAAATCTATTAAAGAACATTTTTGTGCAATATTTTTTCACAAGCAATTTTAGGTTTCACGATTTCTCACGATTTTCCTTTCTCGATTCTCACGATTTTTTTAAATTTCATCTGGCAACACTGGTTAAGGTATGTTATCGCTTGTGCGTCTGGCGGTTGCGTCGGGCAGCCGCTGCCTGCGGCAGCCTACTGATTCAATGCGTTTTATCATAACCGTTTTCGCTTATGCGTCTCAGCGGTTATAGACCGTCAGATAGTGACATATTTAGGTGCCCCATTTTCGCATACAAGCCTCAAAGAGGGTTGAAAAGTACATCGATTTTGAGTAGGATGAAGGTATTTTTACGAATGACTTTTGGGGATAACGTATGGAAAATTCGATTTTCCGTAACAGAAATGAAAGACGTCCTAGTGCCCATATTTTCTCGCAAGCCGTGTTCACCAAACGATTAATTGATAAAACCTGGCTTCGTGAAAACTTAGAAAGAGGTGTTGCAGGAGGTGGCTACAGGTTTGAAATAAGGGCGAAATCTTGTAAGGAAAAATCAAGATTTTGGGCGATTTTTCCACACTAGCCCATCGGAAGGATGAAAATCTATAACTTCGGTAACAAGAAAACATATTTTCTTGAGTATCGCTGATGGAAAAGTACATTCAAGGGTAACATAAGTAAAAACCAATTTTCCATGTTATCCCCAGGAGCCACTCGTAAAAATACCTTCAACCTACTCAAAATCGATGTACTTTTCAACTTTCTTCGAGGCTTGTATGCGAAAATGGGGCACCTAAATATGTCACTATCTGACGGTCTATTATGATAAAACGCATTTAATCAGTAGGCAGCCGTCGGCGGCAGCTGCCCGACGCAACCGACAGACGCACAAGCGAAAACATACCTTTAGCCTGTCAGTTTTGTTTGAGAGTTTGTTTATTTGTTGGTTACCAGTTGCGGTTGAGGTTAAAGGAACCTTTTCGAAAATCTGGATTTTGTTCTATTTTTCTAAATTTTCAACAAAACTATGGGTGATACAAACAAAAAAATTGTGTACGTTGGTGGTTTGGCTGAAGAAATAACTGACAAAATTCTAAAAGCTGCGTTTATTCCTTTCGGCGATATTATCGACATACAAATACCACTGGATTATGAATCAGAAAAACACAGGGGCTTTGCGTTTATCGAGTTTGAAGCCACAGAAGATGCTGGCGCGGCCGTGGATAACATGAACGATGCGGAACTATTTGGTCGAACCATCCGGGTCAATTTGGCGAAACCACAAAGGATAAAAGAAGGTTCAACGAGGCCCGTTTGGTCTGAGGATACCTGGCTTCAAAAACATGCTGGAGAAACCATTAAAGATAAAGGAGATGATATGGAAACATCTAGTGAAACTACTACTACTACTAGCGTCAGTGAATCCACAGAAGAATCAATTCCTAAAAAAATCACTAACCCGCAAGTCTATCTTGACATTAAAATAGGAAAAACGGAAATAGGTCGTATTACCATAATGCTGCGAGCTGATGTAGTACCCAGAACTGCGGAAAACTTTCGTTGTCTTTGCACCCACGAAAAGGGCTACGGTTTTCAAGGAAGCATGTTTCATAGAATCATTCCAGACTTCATGTGCCAAGGTGGCGATTTTACCAACCACAATGGCACTGGAGGAAAATCAATATACGGTAGAAAATTTGCTGATGAAAATTTCCAACTAAAGCACACAAATCCAGGTACCTTGTCAATGGCAAATTCTGGACCCAACACCAATGGATCTCAGTTTTTTATTTGTACAGTCAAAACCGAGTGGCTGGATGGAAAACATGTTGTTTTTGGACACGTTATTAGTGGCATGGATGTGCTTAAGAGGATGGAGAGGTGCGGAACAAAAGCCGGAAAGCCTACTGATAAAGTGACAATAGCTGCTTGTGGTGAAGTACAATAAAAGTGAAAATAATGAAAGTTGTATTTCATCATTTTATACCATTTAAATAAAAGTTAAAATTTTCAATAATTTTTATTTTGCAACTACATAAGTATATAAGTACCTATGTATTCTATCTTCAAGATTGCTAGAACACTATAATGCTATAATATTATAAGGAAGAAATACAATTTTCAAAGTCTTGCCTCACAGCCTACCCTACAGAGATCACACCCAACTAACATCTTTGTTTTTTTTTTTTTGTAAATATTGGGCCGAGTATTGGGCATTTATTCTTATTTTATATTTTAATATGTAGTAACCCTAAATAAGAAACTTTTTTCTAAGCAGACTACAAATCTCTAACTACTTAGTGGCTTCTTTAAAATATTGCCAAGATTGTCTTCCACAAAAATTGTTCTGGAGATCTTGCTTTTGAGAGCCTCATCAGGAATCCTGAAAGAAAATTTCAGAACTTTTCCTTCAAATGTCCAATTAAACATAATCATTTCGTCTGGTTGTTTTCTTATTTCTACTACTCTTATACCTGCAGTGGACTGTATAAATTTACTAGAAAAATCATATGAAAGAGTTATAGAGTTGCTGTGACAATAATTATTGAACCATCTAAAATAATTAATTAAATAATACGCATATGTATAAAAAATATTACCACTTACTTATGGTAAGCCAATATTACAGCACAACTTTTAGTCAAAACAGTCCAATCATTGTCTTCAATTTTTTTAATAACTTGAAAATCTTTTCTTTTGGATTCATTATGCAGTCTTTCTGAAAGCATATCAGACTCAAACTCTTCCTTAAACTCAATTTGAGCTTGAAATGCTTTAAAATGCTCTTCCTGATTATCATCATCTTCAAAAGTGAAAAATTTGCTTATATTATCAAAACCTCTACCCATTACACCAGTTTTGGTATGTCCAAGATCAAAAGTATGATATAGCTCGTGTAGGACAGAGCCAAGAGTTGTTGAGAAACATGAACCCTGTGTACCTCTGTAAAAGTATTTGTAAATAATGTGAACATGTCTTTCTTCATAAAAGATTCACCTGTAACAGCTATCATCCAAAAACTTCATTTTATCAACCACAGTGCTGTCTTCAAACTTAGTAATAACTTCATCGAATTCTTCAGCCCATGTATATAGGCAAGCAGTTCCAAACAAAGCTAACCCACCCCCTCCTAAAGCTACATAGGCCTCAGTTATACCAAGAATATCTTCGTGAGTTTTCATAGTTTCCTCAGAAAACTTATAACCATTGTAATTTGTACAGGAAAGGAACGCCAAATATTTCTTTTTCTCAGATGCGTGTTTTGAATTCATTATATCTCGACCTTGAAATGCTCACACAATATAACTAGGCTTATTTATCAATTTGTTACCTACCGATACTTTCCCATAACTTTTCTTGACTGATTCTTCTCGCATCCAGATAATCCACTTTACTTTTAAAAACTTGGCACTTGTTTTCTAATGTAAATGTCTTACGTCCTAAACCATTTTCAAGTAATTTTTCGGCTGTAAAGCATTGCAGCAGTCTTGAACATAATAATATCCTGTTGCAGGCACTTTCAACATCATTTTCCACATTTGAAGGAGCTAGAAATGTGTAGCTTATTTATGCAAAAATAAACAAAGTTACATGAAAATATACCTTGATATTTTCCATCGTGTCCCTCACATATCACATACATAGGCATCACAGTATATTCTGATTTTGAAGGGCAATAATCTAAACTTAATGTTAAAGTCTGAGAATCAAATTTAAATTCAAACTTATTTCTGCCCTCTGATAATTGCAATAATATTTTGAATTTCTGGTTTTTTATATTTATTAACTTTTCTATGTTTTGGTTTTGTAGAATTAGTACAAGTTTTGCTGGTTTGCCAATATGCAGACATGTTTTTGATTCTTTGCACTGGATAAGGCCTACAACTCTCACAATGGGATACGTAACAGTATCTCTTGATGGAAAATTTAATATTTGAATGGTGTGGCAGCAAGTTTTAGGTGAACTCTGAAATTGAAATATTGTTTGCATAATTTGAGTCAACACAAAATGAAATGTTTATCCAAAATATGCAATGGTGAAGGGTAAAGCGGCTAGGTCGATAAATTCATTGGTTTATTTCTTCTTGGCAACAGTGCACAAAAAGTCCCAAAAAAGCGATGTTTTCCATATTAAGTTTATCACACTTCACACTGTGTGTAGCAAATATACCGGGTGGGCCAGCGAAAACGAAACAAGGTCGATATCTCGTATTGATCGTTCACTGAAAAAACGCGCTGGGACCCGTCGATTTTTATTCGGAGGGGGAAATCTTTTGCACATATTTTCAATGTTGTCACTTCAACCCTCTCGCGGGGGTAAGCGCCAACCCCTAAATCTTAAATGGCAGCAGGGGTCGAGCGATACCTCATTTTAAAGGTCATCGAATTCTCTTTTCAACAGTGCCTATTTTTTTAAAAAAAAAAAAAATCTATCTATTCATGGTGTTTCCATTGACTGTTTCAAACTGGTTTTGAACCAATGTGAAAAAAGTGGACGCGAACGGCTTAGATGTTTTTTTAGTGTTTCAATTCAAATTAAAAATACTTTACATGAATGTATGATACTTGTACAGGGTGTTTCCTTATATTTTGACCCACAGCTTTAGCTGTACAAGATGGAAAAAAACTTTAAATCTGAAAGTTGTAGGGTTTTATGTCTATTATCTTTTGCGAATGTCAAAATGGGCAAATGACAGGTGTCAACTGCCACAATGACAAACACTTGCATTTTTCAAATGGAACACCCTGTATATTTTTAGATACCATACCATGTTGACATTTGGTTCAGCTGTTTTTCCACTATTCAAGTTTAAAAATGCATTCACATTACCCTTAACTTAATTTGTCCTGGGCTTGGACTCTGTAACGAATAGAGACATTTTCTCTATCTTTAATGATGTCTCCTTTCTATTGATATCGAAAAGATAGAAGACAGCAAGTGCCATAGTGATAGGGATAACGATCTCTATCCATTACAGAGTCCCAGCCCTGGTTTCTTATATCAATGATGAGGCTTGCTCAAAGCAATTTCAAAATTAAATAGCACCAAAACACCTGAACCAAATATCAACACATATGGTATATTTGGAATCAGAAGAAAAAAAGCTATCATTCTAGCCAAAAGTATACAGGGTGTTCCATTTGAAAAATGCAAATGTTTGTCATTGTGACAATTGGCACCTGTCATTTGCCTGTTTTGACATTCACAAATGATAATAGATATTTTCTACTACTTTTCTCATATTTAAAGTTTTTTTCCACCTCGAATAGCTAAAGCTAAAGGTAGGGGTCAAAATATGAGGAAACACCCTGTACCTACACCTACTGCATGAGAGTCGAGAGAAACACCCCTCGAAATTCACCTTTATAGGTAGGTAAGTATATGTAGGTACCTACTACAAAATATTTGATTCTTTACCATTTTAAAATGTTCCCATCATATTTTCATTTAAGTTACTTTGATCCTCTGCATTTGTGGCTAATTGGTCACCACTTTTGCTGTTAAGTACTCCCACAAAAACTCCACTTCTTAAGTTGGAGTAGTATCCCCTAATTCCCCTACATAGGTATTTGGTTGCTGTGATTCAGTATTTGTTTATTTTTATTGTTGATGTTGGATGATTTCGATTCCCCTATCGCGAGGGCTGTGGCGAGGGTGTCGCCGACCGCCGACGTCTAAGGCCGCTTTCACACACACTCGTAAATTCCTCCGGCACCGGTTTCGAGTTTCAATAGATCTGTTTCTGCAAAAATCACAAACCAGTCAGAGCTGAGGTTTTTGGCTGAAATAGCAGACACTTTCAGCTTAATAATCATTCCGCCTAATCCCTCGAACCGGTACGCAGGGTTTTGAATCTCTCCGGAACGGATCTGTCCGATTCTAGTTCAACCGCGAACAAAGATCTGTCAAATTCGGAATAGGATCCGCAAACAAATGGAACTGGCTGGCGTGCGAGAATAACCGAATTAAAACATTCGATGCGTAGAAGTTTCCCAGTCGAAGGCAAATTCGAACCGTGAACGCATGGTAACGAACGAGAAATTGATCACGAACACACGAATCCGCTACATCAGCTGTCTGCAAGAACAATGGTAGGATACGAAAACTCTCGCTGGAGGTGACGTCAGCTGCAGTCCTTTATTGTTGCGTTTGCTTGAATGCATCATTCATCATTGAATGCATGGAATAGGGAACAATCATATTTTTCAAAGTATTTTTTTTCTTATTGCTTATGTTTTCAAATATAAAATGTATATGTTTTTTTTTGTTTTATGTCCTCATTGAAATAAAAAAATTATTTTGAATTTCAAATTATTTTCGTTGGCGCGAAAACGATTACCTTCAAGATGGTGGCATTTGTGACGTCAACTGTCTGTAAACACAACGTTAAGGTCTGTTCTCACAAGAGCCTTTGATACTTTGCAAACTGTCGGAAAGAATCGCTTAGCTTGAACCTTCGACTGCAGTGAAACTTGAAAGCGGTTATTTATGCGGTATTCCCATATTTAGTGCCATATTGTGACATTTTGTGTTTCAAATAGTTCATCATGGTTGATACAGGATTTACAAAAGCGCAGTCTGACAATCTTCCCTCTATAGACCCGTTTATGGTGGTTCAATATCAGTCGTGGCGTGACGTGAGCTGATCGTGGACCAATCGTTCCACGATTCAAGAGTGAACCACGATAGTGTGGACCGTGGAATTTCGGTCAGTGTAAACTACCCTTAACCTTAAATTACGAACAGTTGACGTCACTGGAAGCGGCCGTTAAACGTAACTTTTCCGCGCGAAACTTTTCAATTTAAAACTAATAATTGCCATATGACTATAATGTCCATAAATTTAATACAAAACTGCTCATATTCAATATTTTACACAAAAATGTGCACCATAATAACAAAATAAGCCATATTTATTTCTTATGAAAATTCTCTATTGATGGGAAACTTGCAGGCAGTATTGTCTAAAGATTGCAACTATATTTTGATATTAACAAATGCAAAAATTAAATCGTTATAACATCCTTGTGTCTTTTGACAAACAAAGAATCACATTATGGAACATTTGGCCAAGGATGATGTATATAACAGCCGTGTGCTTTATGGCATAAACTCTCTAATTTCCTCTCTACACGTAGATTTTCTTTTCATACTGTTGGTAGATTTGTCTTTCAAATATTATCTGTAATTCATTCTAATTATCGTTCTTAGTTTGCAAACATTTAAATTAAATGGCGAATCTCTTTCCATTTTGAATATTTATCTTGCCCAGTTTTGTATCATTCAGTCTTTTTCAAAACAAATCTCCATGGTGGAATTCAAAATAAATGTTCCATTTTTCAATTTTTTATGGACACAACGTTTGTTAAGGTCAAAATCAAGGTTGTTTAAAACCAAGGAGAATACACCCTAAGAAGTGCCTATCGGCCTCGTTTTTGGTAATCGCCGCCATATTGGTCTTCAACTGTTTTCAACCATTGCCGACGTCATAACTAAGTCGTCAGCTGTTTAAACAGTCTACGTCAAGGCGAGAAACGCCATGCTGCTTACGTCACAACTGGTTGTTTGGCCTGGGAGGGAAGGGGGGGGATTTGTTACGGCTTTATGAGGATAGGCCATCCTGTAGTAGTAGTGTGTATCATCCTTGGTTTAAAACGAGGTTGCCTGATAACTTTTATGACGTCATCTGTATGCCTCAACACAATTCAAATCTCCATAAGGCACCCCAGCGTGCCCCAGCTGTAGGATTCTCAATCGTTAAGTCGATACGTAACGTCCCGACTCCTTGTAGAAAAGCAATGCGAAGTCGGGGTCGATAGGTTGCGACTAGGAGGTTGAGAATTGGGGGGCAGATACGTCATTGAATTTTTTTTGCCGTAAACCCACAACACTTCCTATTCATACAACTGTTAAGGGCGCAAACCTTCTACAATTATACGTCATAAAGTTACCCATTACCAGATAACCTAATGAACTTTAGGAACCTTTTAGGACAAAATGTACAGCTGTTTTTAATTTTGAGTGAGAAGCCATGAGACTTTTGACGTTTTGTTGACAACGACAGTATCATTCGCCAGGGGTGCGTTCAAGGACGGCAATGCTAATGCCAAAACCTACTTTTCCCCCTCCACCGGTAATGCCGAACCATCATGCAGAGCTGGGCAGGGCTTGAGTGCTTTGTGCTTGCGAAAGTGCTTGAAGCACTTTGAGGACTTGAAAGCCCTGTGCTTCAAGCCCTTTTATAGATTTGTAATTGGGGCTTGCAAAGTCAATTACTTTAGAAAAGTGCTTGGTAATTTGTAATTGGAAAAAGTAATTCAAGCCCTTTCAATGAGCCTCAATTACTTTTAGAGGGCTTGAAGCACTTTTGGGAGCTTGAAGCCCTTTAAAAGGGCTTGAAGCACTTTAAGAGGGCTTGAAGCACTTTTGGGAGCTTGAAGCACTTTTGGGAGCTTGAAGCACTTTGAAAGGGCTTGAAGCACTTTAAAAGGGCTTGAAGCACTTTGAAAGGAATTTGAATTGACCATCATTCAACCTATCCCCCACTTAAAAATTTTCGATCGTATTTTGTCCTTTAATTTTTTTTTCTATTATTTGAACTTGAACCGTCTTATGTCTTTTCTCTCTTAACAATGGAGGTTTTGGGTTTGAGCTTAGAATGGAATTAAAAAAAACATTAATGAACTCATTATTCAAATAAATAATTAATTTATATTGGTAACCTATTTAACTTTATCGCTGGATTTTTTTCACTTTTCCCCATCGAACATTTTGAAAACCTTAAAATTGAATTACCATGTAGTACCCCAACTACCCCAAGTACCCCAGAACTACATCTCAAAAAAAACATACTACTGCTACTCTGTGAAACGTAAAGTTCGTCTCTACTATACCAATTCTGTGTGCTGAGTGTGCGCGGTAGCTTATGCCACTTTGAGAATTTTATTACAAATTCAAAGTGCTTCAGGCACATATAAAGAGCTTCAAGCACATTTAAAGAGCTTGAAGCACATTTAAAGAGCTTGAAGCCCTTTTCAAGGCACCCCAAGCACTTTTGATGTGCTTCAAGCACTTTTCAAATCACTTTGAGGGCTTTGTGCTTGTCAAGCCCAAAGCACTTTGAGGGCTTTGTGCTTGTGAAGCACTTTTGAAAATAAAAAGGAATTTGTGCTTGAAATTGAAGCACTTTGATAGAGGGCTTAGGGCTTAGTGCTTCAAGCCCTTTTACTGAGGGCTTTGCCCAGCTCTGGAACCATGTAATAGGTTGGAGCCGAACTCGAACGCAAAATGCCAATTTTGGTTGGCTGTAGCCATTCCTGAACGCAGCCCAGTGCGTTCGAAAACACACAGATAAATCCTCAAGTAAGGGCGGGTATTATAAAACTGCTTTGACAGTTAACTTAAAGTTAACTTTCTGAATTACATGTAATTCCAGAAGTTAACTCTAAGTTAACTCTCATAGTAGTTTTATAATACTTGCCCTAAATATTATAGCCTCAAACCTCATTATTTCAGAAATTTGGTTTTTGTGCTTCAAGTATTAGGTGACGGTCTCAAATACCCAAAGAAAATAATCCAACCTTCTGCGAAGCATACAGACTGGTAAAAAAAATAAAACTGTCAAAAATAGCAGTCTTGCCTATCTCTAGTCAACATAATTTTTCAAATTGTGGCACGTAACTAACCGAGTGTCTTTGACCTCAAAAGTTGACGTGCGCTTTCTGTTTTGAAAGGAAAAATCAGGGGTGAGAGCGGGTATATGGTCACGTGGTCAGAAGAGTAAATTTTAGGTCTGTTTTTGCAGAAATCACAAACCAGTCAGAGTGAATTTCATTGATTGAAACTAGTTTTCTGTTTTTATGTGAATCCAATCGCCACTGTTACAATACGTTCGAATATCAGAGCCGTAGTGTCACACATTTGAAATTTATTTACATTCCCAGTCCTCCCTCCACAAATTATGAGAAACAGAACGCCGTCCAGCGCCTGCATAAATTGAAATCTTACAGAAATGTTCACTGTCCTTCAACGTGTTAAAAATCACCTTTTCTACATTTGAAATCGACGAAAAAACAAGCACAACCTGAATCGCAAGCATACCATCGAGGCCTGCGGGTGACGTCACCAATCCTAATACTGGTGAGGTCACTCGCATGCCCTGCTGATTCGAGAATTGGCAAACGTATGCCTTATGAGGATGAGCAATCCTGTTAGTTCACGATTCTTAAGCCTGGCCTACATACGATGTTTTTTGAAAAGAAGAAAGGAGATAATAAATTCCTTAGATAAATTCAATGTTGCGAGTGTGGCGACATCCGTCAAACATCTGCGATGTTTAATTCTACATCAATGGTTCATCAACGACGTCATTGGATGGCGCCAATTTCATTGTTGTTTGCCCTTGGCCGCCATATGGATTGGATTGGACTATCAAAAAATCAAAAGATCAAAATCATAACAAAAGAATCTTCTATAATAACAAAAAATAAACAATAAGTCAAAATTTCTATTATTCTTTATTCTATTTCTATTTACCTAAAAATGGAACAAAACTGTGATATCGAAGAAACTACCGAGGATATTTATTTATTAGCCGAGCAGAAAATTCAGTTTGGAGAAAACCTAAGGCGATTTATTGACCAGCATGGCAAAATAGATGGTTTGCAAAAACTCAGTCGAAAAATTAATCAGGAATTAAAATTTCTGGGAAAGGTTTGTGTACCCTGAACTCCAATTTAAAATATTAATAAAACTCCCTATACAATTTTAGGTTTACAAAAGCAGGAATCTCAAGAAAGAACATTTACAATGCTCTAACCTGACCCATTTCTCTGCTCTAGTGGATACATTAAAGACAGTGGACAATTGTCACAGTGTTAACAAAATATTCACTTTGTACAATAGAAAAACTACTGTGGATATTATCTGCGATAATGGACTGACCTGGATGAAGGTGATAGCAAGAAATCCTAAATCGTTAAGTCAAATTTATATGGGGAATGCTAGCTATGGCGTTAGGAGTATTGTTGATCAAGCCGAGGAATATATCGAGTGTGCTAAATTGCATCCATGCTTATTCCAGACACCTAAGGTGAGATTTTTTAGTCGTATGTACTTTAGTGCTATTATACTCTAGGGAGTTTGAATTTTTTGGCTGTGACCATGACTCACCCTATAACTGACACAATATCAAGTAAGGAGCTTCGTGGAGATCCAAAACCTAGCACTGATCTATGAATAAGTGTATTGAATTGAAAACCAAGTGAAATAAGATTTCCATTTAACACATTGCATGCCACGCTGTTATCGGGAAAATACCCCCTGGGGCCGTATTCTTGATTTCTGGGAGGAGAACTTGCTCGGGAAGTGGACGTGGTTTACCTCAAAAAGGTACATGTCATATTCTTGAAAATGGGACTGTGAAGTGAAAGTTCCCGGGAATTCTGAAGTTCCCATCCTCTTACCCAAGAGAAAACGAATTCCCGTCAGGGTTTCTAACCTCAAGACTTGACGTTGTTTTCAAGCTTGACGTTTTTTTTTTCTCCTTTCAAATTCAAGGTTTTTTCGTTTTTGTATGCGTTGTGTCTTTTCATTAAAATGAATGTGGATGTGGATTATTTTATTGAGATTATCTTGTATAACATACCTAACATAATCCAAGAAGACATGAAAAATGCTTCAGAAGCAAAGGAAATAGAATGGGATGTTCTGTCTTTTCCATTGGCCAGAAATTCGTGAAATTTTTTAGAGTAAGCAAAAATGTATGCCACGAAATAGTGGATATGGTTACTCCCGTATGTTACCGCTCCAAAGCGAGTCTCGGCTTTAACCAAAACTACAAAAGTAGGTAGGTATGCATAGAACACAGTATTCCAGAAGTTGATGAGCCACATGAAGTTCAGGAGCAGGAATACGGAATTTATTAATTTATGCTGCAGAAAATTATGCACAATTTTCCCTCATGTATAAAAAATCTCATGAGGAATGCAGTTTTCGAACACTTACAGCGATGATGTTCATAGGGTAGTTAAAAATAAATATATTATCAAACCCAAATGCCTTTCAGCTTTCAAAGTTTTGAAAAATAGACAATAATAAATATCAAACGTGGGGTTAGATATTGGGTTAGATAACTTCCTCTTCCTTTTTTCGCTTGAAACACGTTTTGGTTAGTTTGATTGACACTCTGATAGGCGGCAACATGGCGAGCGCTTGTGGGTATTCAAGAATACGACCTCTTAGCTCCCGGGAGCGAAAGTGAACTAGCTTTCCTGGGAACATTCCCAGGAACACTCCCTTCCCGGGCAGTCAAGAATACGGGGCCAGGGGTAGTGATGTGAGTCGAGAATATTCCCATGCGAATATTCGCGAACATTGGGAAATTTCCGAGAATATTCGCCGATAAAAAATGGAAACGTTTTCCTGAATGAGAATATTCCCGGAAACTTTCAATCAAAAACTCTCAAAAGAATATTTCCGAGAACTTTCGAGAATATTTCCAAGAACTTTTGAGAATATTTCCAAAAACTTTCCAGAAGAACTTTATAATGCGAGATTATTGCGAATACAAGGTCTCAGTGACTTTATTTCACTTTATGTGGATGACGTACCCAGTCCAACTGTCTTTACCGAAACACTGATCCGATTTACCCGATCACCAGCTGATATACCTACAGCCTAATGCCTAAGGTTTGTCTTTTTTTGAAATAATCTCCATTGAAGAAAAAAATAAAGAGCTGAGAAATTGGGTTAATCGGATCAGCTTTTCCTTTGAAGCCTTATTCAACCCTCGATAAAAGTGTTTTTGCTACATAGTTTAATTTTTAGCTGATCTTACAGAAAAAAATAGGCGTTTTTCTTGGTTTATAGTCTATAGTCAGTACACTACAATTGGGTAAATGAAGCTTACTACGATTTGTCCGATTTAGCTATAAATTGAAAAAAAAAACAATATTTCCATAAGTTCCCGAAAGTTTCCAATATTCCCGGAAAGTTTCCGAGAATGTTCGCGGCTTTTGAATGTTTCGGGAATTTTACATCACTACCCAGGGGCCAAACCACATTTTTGCAATATTTGTATGTATTTACTCTCAAATATGATCAACGTTTTTTTTTTTTGCTTTTGCCGGCAAGAAAGATATTCTCATTTTGTTTCTAGAATAAGCTATTGCAGAATAAATTTTGTTTTATTATTACGTAAAATCAGCTATTTCAGAAATTTTATGTTTTTAATACGCAAAATCAATATTTTTCAAAAATTTTGTTGTAGTGAATTTATTTTTCCAATTTTGCTCAAACCAAGACTTCTATTATTTTCTCCAGAGGCCAAGCTTCGGATTCTCCATTTAAAATACACGGTAGCGGGTATCATATTTGATATACATGGCCAGAAAGTGAGAGACGTGTGTATCTCAGAAAACGTCTCTCAGAAATGAGCGACGAAGCCCTCGGTGAAATGTTGATGTCTCGCACATATCGTCGCTTATCTGACAAATGGGCGTAAGTACCATAGGCATTATTTGACAGGAAAGCAATTTAAAGAAAATGTATCATATACATGGTTCCGTGTTTGTGTTAATTGAAAAGCAGTTTCAGTGATAATATTTTATTTAGACTGGTAAATACACATACTTTTTCCAAATACTATTCGAATTCAAGAAATTTCAGGCGAACATGATAAAATATGAAAAAGGCATCATCCATTTTTATCCAAGAGACCAAAGGCAAGATTTTTGAAGATAACAAAAACAAAGTCACAGTCTCATAATGGAGACTGTGACTTTGTTTTTGTTATCTTCAAAAAAAAAAGATAAAATATGACTTAGATGGACATAGGTCCCTTCGTCAGATCTGAATTTTATTGTTATCTTACTTAAGCCTAGTAATGCACTTAACAAAACATTAGTAACAATCTGCGGTAAAGAACAAAAAGAAAATTCCACTCTATAAACGAAACACAAACAAAAGTTAACATTAAAAAAAATCGGTTAATCCCTATAAATCACAAGAAATAAACAAAATAACTATATTCTAAAAAAAGAGAACGAGAAGCTAATTATTCCAATCATGGGGAAGGTCTTTGAAGAATTGTTGGAAAGTTTTGTCTCGTACGACTTGTATCCGATCTGTGCATAGATCCGTAAAATCTTTGTATTTATTTGCTGAGAGTTTTATCTGGCCACTGTTTAATTTGGGTATAGGTTTTTGGAGCACGTCAGGTGGTAGTCTTTCTAGTGGCAGTTGCTGATATTCAGCATCATAGTGACTTTTTTTAATATTGATTACAAACGTCATCTTTGTTCACCATTACTTCCTTAATTTTGGTCTAGTCCTCATTTCCACCAGAGTCCAGTTTTCTGGTCACGCGGACTGAAGACGGATTTTTTCAGCCAATGATTTATAATCAAGAAAATCTTCGGTGGTCATTTCAAAAACCGTGTACGGAAAATTACTTCTGGCGAGTCTAAAGATGGGGGGTACCTAACTGAACTGTACTGGTATATAACTATTTCCGGCGGACCGAAATGCTGTTGCAATAGAACTATGAACGGAATCCCCTTCATTTTGACCATGATTTTTTTGGAAAGAGGATAGTACAATTTCACGTTTGTTTTTTGAATTTGCGACAACTTGTAGTAACATGGTGAAAACGATTGTATTTTTGTTCTGGCCACCACAACCATCTGCGAAGAGCCTGCTTACTTCTTTTAATCCTTGGTTGTCCAGTTGTGTAAATATCTGCCAACCATGTAGACATTTCATTGGCACCACTTTCACTCATAACTTCCGACCAAGAGAAGCAGTAGCACTCTCTATTACCTATATTGTGAATACCGACAAACGACGATGATATAAGACAATGCAATTTCTTTACTTTAGGTAACTGAATAACTTGTTGCATGTCAAAAACAGCAGCCGCTATTGAAGCTGGGTTGTTTTTGGACATTTCCTTAGCATCCTCCTTCTTTTTGCACACAGTGTTTTTCTCGGCGACATTTGCAGTGTATGCATCTTGAAGCTCTAATTTTTTATTTGCATCACCTTCCCTGTACGACAAACAAAGACTGCATTGGTCCTTCCTGGCATGGTGGAAGGACAGATTCAGTGATTCAAATACTCTAGGGTAAGTATGGTAGCTGCATTTTGGCTGTTCCAGGCTCTCTTCTTGGTACAAGTTAAACATTTGCTTCGCGTTTAAGTCGGGATGTAAATATTCTTTTGAAGTCGATTTTCTACAAAAGAGCGACTCCATTTTTGGGAACTTTTGTATGTGAGCCAGAGCTGAGGCTCTCATAAATTCGTCTTTTTGTTTCAAGTTTGCATAATGCAATGCCCCTACACGTTTATTGAACCTAACTATGCCTTCCACCGTTCTCTTGCTTATTGCCGTCCGAACTGCTTTTTCGGAAACTGCCAGTGTATTCTGAAACGTAGGTAATTTTACAAACTGTTAATAATCTTCTGCCTTTGGTAAATAATAAGCCAAAGTTCTTGTTCTTATGAACTCTGTTGCAGCAGTTCTTCTCTTTTTAACATCATTCTGATTGATATGGCGCACAACGAACTCCCTCTGTAATTGAAGACTTTGTATATTGTAGAAAGCATGAAATATTTCCTGGTATTATTCCTCAGTGAACAACTTGCAGCCATAATTTTTACATTTTTGAGAATCACATTGCGGCTTCATGATTCTTTGCGGAACTTGCTTTCTCAAGAAGGGACTCACGTATACTTTTCCTTCTGTTCTTAGGGTGCGTGCCATCTTTTTCATGTTGTCTTTGCTTATAACTACTGATAACTTACCTATAAAGAGATACCACTGCAATAGAAGGCACACTCAAACTCAAACTTAACATTTTCACTTTTAACAAAAAAATGTAGAAAACCTTGCAGGGTTAGCACCACCGGCCGCCAGGAGACAGGAAGCGAACGAAATGATTATGAATCAATTTATGCTACATTGGTTGCCGGTGCGAACTTATAGGTCATCGGGGGCACATCAGCTAAACAATATTAGTTGGAAATCTGACAAAAAGGCGTAAATTCGTTTCCGGGATATACGCCTCTTTGTAAGATCCTGCGGTTACTTTTAATGTTCTAATAGGGAAAATATTACCTCTACAATTACGCCCGTTGGTCAGATCATATATATACTCCATAGAGATATTTTCATGGAATAATCTGTATTTTAGAAATATTGTCGCTTACGCCCATTTGTCAGATAAGCGACGATATGAGCGACGCGGCACGCAATGTGTTAAATATGTTATCTGCTTAACTGAGTTTAGGCATTGTTTTTGTCTGTGGTGGATAGGAATAGAAGCAAGGTTTCATGGCAACTATATGATAAAAACTAGTCCAACGAACAAAATATGTATATATCCTGTTCACAATTCACAATAGGTCAACTGGCGATTTACTTACATACCTCACTCACTTATGGCAAAAAGCGATTGAGTTGCGGGGTGAAACAAGAACAATTGCCTTAGATATATCTAAAGCATTCGACAAAGTTTGGCATGAAAATCTGCTCAACAAGCTCAAAGCAATGGGATTATCGCCGAAACTTTGCACTTGGTTTGAAAGTTACCTAAAGGACAGATCCATTTATGTTGCACTGGATGGCCAGAACTCCAACTCTTACCAAATAAATGCTGGTGTGCCACAGGGAGCAATCCTTTCGCCAACTCTTTTCCTGATTTACATAAATGACCTCATAGATAAAACAGTAAATCCACTTTATTGCTTTGCAGACGATGGCAATGTAGTCTCCTCACTCATACCACCCACAGGTCTTTCCGCACGTGAATTCCATCATCTTAGACTAACTCAAATATCGCAGATAAATAACGACCTGGAGATAATAGAGGACTGGGGTAACAAAAACCTTGTACAGTTCAACGCGCAGAAAACCCAAGCAGCTCTGTTTTCAAAAAAGACCAGCACCGGTGAGAGAAACATCATGCTATCTGGAAGTGCTGTCACATTACAGACTCAGTTGAACATCTTGGGGGTTACTGCAGAGACCAACATGTCTTGGCACAGTCATGTGGCAGATATTGCTAAAAGGGCCTCCCAAAAGCTGGGGGTGCTATTTCGTACGAGACATCCTGTACACACCAAGCCAATTGCTGACACTCTACAAAGCCCAGATTCGACCAACTATGGAGTACTGCTCACATATATGGAGTGCAGCATCCAAACATACCTTAATGCGTTTGAATACCGTGCAAAAACGAGCTATCAAGCTGATCAATGACCCCGCACTTACTCGTAACTTGGATGGTCTCGAACATCGCAGATCTGTGGGCGATTTATCTCTCTTCTACAGGTACTATCACGGAAAATGCTCTGAAGAGTTTGCACGTATGATTCCACCGAGAGTAGCACCTACCAGGCGAACCCGTCAAACAGACGGTAACCATGAATTTACTGTCAAACTAGAGGCACCAAGAACCTCATTATATCAGAATTCATATCTCTGGAGAACAGCATCGCTGTGGAATAAACTCCCTGCGACGGTTTTCCCTGCAGGTTACAACCTGAACCGTTTCAAGACCAACATACACCGACATTTCCGCGCACTTGCCGCTTCTCGAGCGTGATAGGACATTTCCTAGTGCGCATATCCGTAAAAAAAAAAAAAAAAAAATCCGATGTCCACAGGTGCAGGTAAATTTATCACCTTTTCCTATCAAATAGCATTGAAAGGTGATAATTTTTACCTGTACCTGTGGACATCGGATTGTGAACGGATAATATGTATAATTATAAAAATAGCATTGTTATATTTCCAATTTCCAAAGACTAGTTAATAGACTGAAATACTATAAAAATAATAAATATTTGACCCTTGAAAATTAACCCACATTTTTTATTAACATTTAGATAGTCTTTGTATTCACCAATGGAATTGGTAACAATTTAGCAACCAAATTGGAGAAACTTGGCATAATTGTGAAAGGAAATCGCACAAGTGTTCATGATATTATTGAAGAAAGTGATTCGGAAGCTAGCGAAGACGAACACTCAATACCTACAACCCTCATCAATAATTACAATGAACCACTAGAATTATCCACAAAAAATATAGATAATATTAAAAAGGTAAATTTAGATGTTTCCGCTATGTTGGCCTATTGCTGTTCAGTAGCTAATGGAAGTGCATTTTTATATGATTTTGATGTACCTGTTCTTAAACAGCAAGCCGAGTGGGAAAGACAAAGACCTGTCAAGCCAATTTTGGATAATTTTTTTAAAGGTACATACTAACAATTCACCTAACTTTATTTAGATAATAATGTATTTTTTGTAGGTAAACAGTTATACTGTTGTGAAACAGCCAAGGAAAGTTTTGAAAATATAGTAAATACAGTAGGAGGGCCAACAGAAAAAAATAGAGCAGAAGAATTAATGAAAAGAGTAATAATTTTGCCAGACAATGCTACTTTCAAAGACACCAAAGAGGGTAGCGAAGGAAGTGAAATTTTCCATCAAGCGCAATTTACAAAAGGCAAAATTTTGGACTTGGGTGGAAAAATTAGACAAAGATCCTTAACGGTATTTATGTTTGGAGATCAAATACAAGCTATAACTGTCACCAGTAATGATGGATTTGTTAGGGCAGCTAAACAACAGGTAAATAAATCTAAGGAATTTAAAGAAGAAGTCATATTGAAAATATAATAATTTTTTATAATAACTTTTCTAAATTATTTGGTTATGATGCATAGATTCTTTTTTAGAATATAAATTTTGTTGTGTTTGTCCATGAATCAAGAGCCCTGACCGAGCAAAAAGAACTGATTCAAGCAAAGCCACTTAATTTAGAAGAAAATAAGTCAACGATTTAATATATATTTTTTTTTTTACCAGAAAAATAATATATTGTTATTTGTTAACATTGCAAATTTTGTTTTATTTTACAAAAAATAATTTAGCCTTTGAAAAACTTCTTATATCGCTCATTGTGTTTACTACTAACAACAGGTTCCCATGTTACGCAATAATTATCAGAAGGTTTCAATTTCAGTTGATTTACAGAGTCTACAATCCAGCTGACATGTAAATGTTTTGCGTTTTTAGGCCACTCTACGCAAATATCTTCAATTTTATTGGTCGAATGAAATATGCAATTTGCATTTTTGGTTTTCGCTATAAGTCCACCATAAGCTAAGAAATATCTAGAAAAAAGTATTGGGTATATCGATAAAAAAAATTGACCAAAAATAACTGATGCTCACCTTTCAATGTTGGGATCCCTTGGATTAACAAATAAACCTTGAATGTTTTCAAATAAATTTGGCAAAGCATTTTCTAGCTTCACTTTTCTTATATTGCTTTTTTCTGATTCTTCTGCTAATTTTTTATTATCTCTCCTTGAATCGACTGATTCTAAAGAATCTTTTTTACATTTCTTTGGTGAACTGCTACTTGATGATGCTTCAGAATTAATACTAATGTCCAGCAATCGTTTTTTGGACGGACTTTTGCTGTTCTCTTTAGTATCAGTACCCTTTGTTGAAAGTGTATCATCATCCGCATCTAATTCTACTTTGTAATCTTTTAACAGTTGACTGACATCAGTATCGGCTTTGGATTTTTTAAACAATTGTTTTAGTTCATCTACATTTGTGGCAGTTTTCCATGTTTTATCATCTCGAATCTTGGTAACTCTTGGGAATCTGTAATAAAGAGAGAAAATAATTAATTTTTGGAGCTTATAAATTAAAAAAAGTTTTTGTCCGTTTTTGTCCGAATCGATCCTCAAATACTGCTGTTTTTGCTTTGTCCAGTTTATGTTTTCTTGTATACTTTTGCATAATTTTTTAGTGATTGCAAGTTTTTAATCATGTAGGCTGCAGTATTATGGTTTTAAGAGCTTGACGTATTGTTGCGTTGTGAATTGTACGAGATTTTATACTTTTGTCAGTGTTTTATGCGTTGGTAAAGAGTAAAGACTTATGTAGGTACTCACTGTATACTTATAATGCCTCAGATAATATGTACTAGATATATAACTTTTCAATCGATCCACACTGACCAAATATACATCCAATTCAACGACGTCAAATCGACGCTTCATAGACGTCTTAATACAGGGTATTTTTTCTGAATGGGTCATATTGGGTTTTACATGGTAACTTTTGAACCTGTTGGTTCATGTCATGGTCAAATAAACGTCCACTACGTGATGTCCCCAACAAGTCATATTTTGCAACATCTTTCCGACGTCGAATTTTGGTTACTCGACGTAAATCTACACATCGCACAAAAATTATCGCATCACCAATGCTTTTAAATATTTTGGCTACAGTAAATTTATTTTTAAAATTTCCTAGGTATTCCCTGAATGGGCATTCTTTAACTGAAAAATTCGAGTCAAAAAACATGTCGTTTCTTCTTTTGTTAGGTTCTTGTTTACTTTTTACGGGAAAATGTGGATAGGCATACATTCCACTTAGTAATTATGCTGTTCATTTCTGTGTTTTCCGCTTTGATAGATGCGATAATTTTTGTGCGGTGTATATTTGAAATCGACGTCATAATGACTAACCTTCGCTGCATAGGATGTTTGTTGCAGTAGGAAAAAAGACCTGCTGAAAGCATCCTCCAACATTTTAAATGTTTGAATGAATTTGGATCAGACGACTTGACTTGTTTCTGCATTAAAATTTTATTCGCTAATATTCAATGTTCTCTATCTTAGACCTGGTTTATTCATCTTGAGATAAATTTACATATCTATAATCCTGTTGGTCACTGGATAATTGGTTGACCAATGGAATTATATATTGCGTTTTTATCAATCAGATTGCATTTTACCTGACAGCTTGCCTGACAGTTTATTAGAAAGTGAATAAACCGGCGCTTATATGTATGTATCAAGAGGCTCTTGAAGCGCCGGGAATAGACAAACATTTAAGAATTGATTATTATTATTATTAAATCCTTTATTTAGCATAAAAATTGCTAATTTACAATAGTACAAAATATATATATACAACTTGAAAAGTAACTAAGGAATAAAATGTAAAATAATTCATAAAATAAATAAACTAACAGAGCTAAACTTAATAATCATAAACAATACAGTAATTTAAAAGTTATCACAGGATCAACCATCCAGTATGTCACAATTACCTAGCATATACATTTTTAGTTCTTTCTTGAAACTCAACAATGAAGTAATAATAATAATCCTTTATTCAGCAAATACACGCTAGTTTACAAAATTTTAATCAAATTCCACAGTTTTACCACAAAAACAATTAAAACATCCGAGAAAACATCCTTGCAAAATACAACTGTACAAATATTAAAATGGACAAAGACAAGAGTCAGAATAGACAAAATGGATAAAAACCTGATCAAGATGTCTCGTTAAATGCACAAAGACCATGTTGACTTAGGCAGATAGGCAGACATTAAGGGAAAATGGAGTAGATAAGTAGACTTAAGTACCTATATGTTGTTTCCATTTGAGGCTCTTGAATTTTCTTTATGTAGAGATATTTAGAAATAAAAAATTCAGGAGCTGGCAATAGACAAAAATTTAGTAGATAAGTAGACTTAAGTATGTTGTTTCTATTCCAGGCTCTTGAATTTTCTTTATGTCATGTATTCAGAAATTTAGAGAAGAAATTTGAGGAAAATTTCTAGAAAGCAGAAGTATCTGTGAGAAGAAAACCATCATTCGACTATTTCACAGATTTAATGGGTTTGCCTAGGTATTCTCTGATATAAAGTAAAAGCGTAAGCTTTCGCAGATAGTTTGGAGCGGAAAGATTGCCTAAATGAACTTCCAGATAAGAATGAGATTGATCAACCCGCCGACAAACTGCGTGAACCAGGGATAAGGTCAATCCCTAGTGAATCCAGAGGCCTGAAAGCCAGGAAGGCATCAGGTCACGAGGCAGGCGGAAGAGGAAAAGCATAGAAAGGCTGTAATGACCTTAACTATCATGACCTTTTCCCTTCTGACATAATGAATGTGCTATTATTTCCTAGTTCAGGCTTTTGAATTTTCTCTGTTTAGAGGTATTCCGAAGAAAACAATTCAAGAGCCAAGAATATACAAACATTTAGACAGAAAAATGTAAGAATTGGAAAGCAGAAATTTAGGGAAAATTGAGTAAATAAGTAGACTCAAGTATCTTTTGAGTTTTCACTGTTTGGAGATAACTCAGCTTACCACAATGACCAGTGTGTCCTCAGAAGGACGTCCAATTTTGGACCACTTTGGTCTCATACGACTTTTGTCCAAAATAGAACGTCGTACTGAAGACATGTTTTGGACGCCCAGCCGACGACGTCTTACTACCGTCCTTCCTTATTAAGTCGCATCAGTTTCTCAATGCTTTGTTAATAGTTGTTGTGTTTCAAATATATATTAACAATTTAGTGTTGTTATCTGTTATCGGTAGGTACCTAATATCAACATATTTTGGTAATTTCATTTAAAGTATAAACCCTGAATTATTCTCCAATCTTGGAAGTCTTTATGAGGTTTTGAGTTGGCCTTTTTGCCGTCTTAAGTTGGGTTTTTCGACGTCTTAAATTGATAAGTCCAAATTAGGCAGAACAACTCTAAAGTTACAATTGGAAATTTTGATGAGAAAAAAAATCCGAAAAGAAAATCTAATTTTTGGCTCTGAACAGTTTTTGGAATCTTGACATGAATAATTGCTCATATCTTCAATGATATTTGAGAAAATTGCCTACAATTATGAATTATTAAAAAGAGTAATAAATTCTCTATAAGCCCTGCCAAATTGGGTTTTGTAATTTCCCGGGATATCAAGCTTCAAATTTGAGATTTGGTCGACATTTTGTCCAAAACTTCAAACTCGATTTTCTCGAAAACCCTAAACGATAGAAAGTTCAGTAAAGTAGAGTACTACTACTACTACTACTACTACTACTACTACTACTCATAATAGTTAAAATTACCAAATGTGCTTACTTTTAAACACCGATATCTCGAAAACTAATCGTACAATTTAAGATTTTGCTAATAAGACTGTAAAGGGAAAGCAACGAGCTATCCAACGATGTACAACACAAGGTAGGTTCTTATTTGGAAAAAATATGTTAGGATAGCTAACCCCTAGGGGAGGGGCGGAGTGACTCAAAAAGTTCTTCATTTTGGTTCCCGATACGTATTTGAGATCTTCCTGATAGTATTTTTTGTCTAAGAGATATTCCTGATTGCTACTTTTCAAATTGTCACCCTGTATGTCCGACGTGGCCTGAATGAAAATATCACTGTCGGGCAAGTATGCCCGACGCGGCATGCAATGTGGTAAAGAAAATAAAACTGTACCTGATAGAAATCCCATATGCGGTATGAACATCATGTTGCTGAGAAAACTCGGCACCAGTAATTTCCCATACAGGCTGTTTCTTGGGATCAACAGCCACAAAATCTGGCACCATTGTTCTAGTGCAGTTCAACCAACTTGGTACTTTATCTGGATCGCTACTTATTTTTTCCATTTCTAGCTCTTTCTGTAATCGTTCCAAGGTTTTATCATCATGACCTGAAATCAACTATATCTTCATTCTTTGTTCAATTACTTATAAAATGTGTGCTCATGTAAAAATGGAAGAATGGGAGCCAGCGACAGAATTTGGTTTGGTTTTGCTTGACTGAAATTCGCATTTCTAGGATAGAAGTTAAGAGATAAACGAGTTTCCAACTTTGCCCAAATTGTCACAAAAAATAGGCCACTGACTCCTGTAGGTACTATGGTCAAATCAGAATGACATCCGACCTACCTGTGTGTACTTTCGTAACAGTACAAAATTTTCTAGTATTGGGATTGTAACAACCCATTAGAAAAACAGACATCATGCCGCCCTTTTGACCAGTTCCATACCATGCCCCCAAAACAATTAAATCGGCACTATCGGCCATGGCGCCTCCAAATAAGTAGTCTTTCTTAACTTTAAGCCAGTGACGTTTTCCGGGTTCATATTTACTCATTGTGTCCTTTAAAACTAAACCTTCCAATCCTAAGAAAAAACTGGTTAAAATTTTCATACATATTATAATAGTATTTTACATTATTAGCCAGGTAAAACAGTTTTTACTGGCGATTGAAGGAAATGACTAGCGAGCCGTTAGGCGAGCTTGTCACCTTCAAGAGCCAGTAAAAACTGCTACCTGGCGTATAATGTACAATAATTTATTTGTTACTCATTTGTAAAACATTAGGGACAAATAAAAAATCAATACATAACAACATTTTGAAATTTTTATGTTTATTTTTTCTTTTTTTTATACAAGCTTTGGTAATTGGTGTAACTATGAGAATCAGATGCTGTTAAATCGTTGTTTCTAGTTATATCAAATAGGTTTTGTGACAGGTTTCTATTTTGCAATTTTTTCCCAGAAATGAATGTGCTAGAAGATATTATTAATGAAGCAGGAGTCATAGCTAACAGTTTGTCACCAGAAAAGTCTTCCAGAAGGTACCTACAAGCAATTATTCTTGGGATAAAACTGATTCTTTAAAAATAAATAATCCTACTGACTTGTAAAAAGTTTTTACAGTTTAGCTGTCAATTTTACAAGTCAGTAGAGCCAGTAGCTGGTAAAAATCAATTTTCGTTGTTTATGTTTTGACTTGATAAGTGACGTTTTACAAATGAGTGACAAATAAAATATTTTTCTTACCCAACTTCAAAACTTTTGCAATCATTTTGGCAAGTTTTTGAGGTTCATCTATTTCTTGCATCTCAGAAAATACAATATGATTCGGCACTTCCGTCATATTTGCATTCAATATTTTTTTCCTTTCAATCAAAGGCTTTTCCATCAAACTCTCTCCATTATAATACATGCAATCGAAAACAAAAAGACACACGCTGGCGTCACGAAATTGGGCTTTCTTGTGAACGCCCAGCGTTCCAAACGGCAAGGGTTTTCCAGTGTTTGTGCCCATCATTAAAATTTCTGTGTCCAGTATCAAATCTTCTGCATGAGGAAAAGCTTTTGGAATGTATTCTTTGAAATGGGCTACTTTGTGCGGCATTACTGGTTTGAGGGATCTTGAGAAATATTTAAATTCGTTTCCCTGTTTATGAACTTGGACTCTAAGAATGGAATATTTAATGAGAGCTTCACGATAAGTTTCTTGTTTATTAATTACCTTTCTCCGTCATATTTAATTTCAGAAAACATTCCATTTGGACATTTTTTCATTGCATATTCTACAGACTTGCAAGCTTCAGCTAACATTGGAAATACTGGAGTAAGAATTTTAACTTCGGCACTTTGGACTTTTCGATTACCAAAACACCTGGAAAAGAAATTAAATTTTTGAGTTACTGAAAACATAGGCATAGATAGATAGATAGTTCATCATCGTCGCGGGGGTCTTACAGCCTTTTGCCGCATTTCGCCATTTTTTACGATCTCTCCAGTCTTCCTCATCTATCGCTTTATCATTCATATTTTTTTAAATCTTATCTATCCGTTAGCGCCGGCCTTCCTCTCTTCGTCCTGTTCCATGGAACATACATCAATGCTCTTTTTGGCCATCTCTCCTCCTCCATTCTCATTACATACCCATACCATATGAGCTGTCGGGTGTCTATTCTTCCAGCGTTCTGTATATGGTCCAGTCTTGAAACTCTTTATGCCCGTCTGGAAAAGTGTGTTTCCACTGCATCTACATTCCTTTTATTTTGTTCCCATAGCTGCCAGCATTCAACTCCGTCAATATCAGCTCTACAATTGCTCCGTAGATTGTCTTTGGTTTTTATAGAAATCTGACTACTCCAGAGTAAACAATTCAGAATCTTAACTCATTTTTTACTTTGTGTTACTCTGTTATTTAGTATATCTTGCTCTGCTGTTCTCTATGTTGATATCAAGCTTCCCAAGTATTCATACTCCTCACACTTTTTCAGATCTCTTAAGCTAAGATCCGGGTCTTCATCATCTCCAATACAAAAATATTCAATCTTGTTTTGGTTTATTTTCTGTCCTCACTGTTCATATTCGTCCTTAAGTTTTCTATACATGTAATCCAGTTCTTCTCCACAGCTAGCTATTGCTACCTGATCGTTTGCAAAGAATAGACAAGTTAATGTTCTCCCACTTCTATTCCCATACCAGAGCACTTATTTCTCTAGTTCTTCAAGGCATCTTGAACAGTGTGAGTGAAAAACAGCAACCTTGCTTTAGTCCTTTTGTAATTTTAAAACTTTCTGAAGCTCTACTTTTACTATACTCTGCGGGTTTTTTATAAATGTTACTAATGGCGCTTGTGTATTCTTTACTAAGTCTGGATAAGTTTCCTCAAGGGCACTGCGTTGTAGGCCTTCTCGAGGTCAACAAATATTAGATGTGTCGACAGATTTCGAGCGCATAAACGTCCTGCATGAAAGCCATTCTGCTCTCGTATGTTTGAAAATTCCATTTAAATTCTTTTTTTTTTTAAATTACAGCCACAGAACTAGACACACTTATTCCTTCATAGTTTCCACAAGTTTTTCAATCTCCTTTTTATTATAGATGGAACTTATGTGTGAGATATTCCAGTCTGCAGATATAGTGTGCCCTCTTACTGACAGATTGTTGTATATAACTGCTAGAATTTCCATCACGATCTCTGGCGCATATTTGACTAGCTTGATAGGAATATTTCCCGCCCCAGAGCCTTTCCATTTTCCATATCTTATAAATTTGTTCTTCTCGACTTACCATTCAAAAAGGGGGTGAAATATGAAAAATCCGAGACGAGGAAAATTCGAAACAAACCTATTTTATTTCTATTGCGTATCATATTTGGTATAGTTGTTTTAATTTTTTTTTTTTTTTTATTTATTTATTTCAACGGATATACCATTTACATTTGAACAATAAATGTTTTTACAATAATTTCATATAAATCTATTTCATAGGTATAAACTTAACAAAAACTGTTTTAATTTTAATTTAACAACAAACTTAAATTCTATTTTTTAGGAACTCATTTACTGTTCTATTGAACTGTCTAAGAGATACATTAAATATATCAATATCTAATTGGTTTATTGAACTAGCCATTCTGTTCAAAGGCGAGTTCATCCCATAATTAGTTCTATGAAAATCAATATGGAACAATGAAAAATTTCTCGTTGTCCTTTGAGGAACTTCTAGAGAAACCAATTCTAGTAATCTTGGACTATCCACATTGTTATTCATCAGTTTAAACAGAAATCTAACGTCCAACATAAATCTTCTATTCTCTAAGGAGTCCAAATTTAATAAACTGTGCAGGGAGACATAATTAATATCTTGTTTCGGTATTTTAAGTTTGTAATTAATAATTCGTAAAAATCTTCTCTGTATTTTTTCTAGAATTTCCCTGTATTTAAGATAACGTGGATTCCAGACAGGACTGGCATATTCAACAATGGAACGAATTAAGGAACAGTACAATAACTTGAAACAATAAATGTTATTAACCTCTTAATCTTAAACATTTATTATAGCTGTTTCCAATATGAATACTAAAGTCCATTTTATGGTCAAAAAATACACCAAGGTCCTTGATTCTGTCAACACTATTAATAATTACATTGTTGACAGAGTAATCAAATATTATTGGATTCTGCACCCTAAAAAATCTCATAACATTACACTTGTCTGTGTTCAAGGATAAACAATTATTTGAGCACCACAAATTAAAACGCTCAAGATCTTGTTGAACTCCATGACAGTCTTTTATTCTTAGACAGTCCGGTTAGTTAATTTTTGCTTGTGATAGACTTGAGCAACCCTTTGTCCACTTTTGATACAAATATGGAATCAAATTTAAAAAAAAATGGAAAACAATTCTTTTGCCTATGATTTCTGGAGGTTTTTTTTATCATATTGGTCATGGATTTACACAGTAGTAAATCTCTTCTCGCCTCTAGGTTAATTTCTTTGAGAGTTAACACCTTCTTTAATTCGTCCTCATTCAAAACTTGAAATAAATATTTTTTTTAGTCCTGACTAAGCATCATAGGGTAGTTTTGCTGTCTTTTTGTGCTGGTTTTCTAGATTTTGTTGAAAATTACGAGGAAAATTATGAAGTTTTTGAAACCAAAATTTTGAATAAGGAGACCGGTATGAGGGGATTTTATCTGAACAAATAATATTTTTTCGGTACTGGAAAGAGGGTGCTAGCTTTACACCAGTTTATTATTTATCTTGCTAAAAAAAAAGTGACATACAAATTCACATTTTTGGTGCTGCCTGGAATTAATACTTAATTTTTGTTTTGAATGTATGAAATTTATTCCTAAAAATATCATCTGTAACTAGCGAGGTAACTAGTAAAGAATTGGGTAACTGGAACACCAATAGGAATGGGTATGAGCATGAGACAGTACCTAGGTACTTGGTATTACGCATATGGTTTTCAACATAGGTTCACTTGAAAGAGAAAATCTAGATAATAAAAATCAGCTGAACATAAGGAACCTAGAAACTGATCAAATTACTGTAAAACAGAACAAAAAGGCTGATAGTGTAGCGTCTAAATCAAAAGAGGAAGTAACTTAAACTGTTGAAAACCCTTCAGAAAAACCTCAACCATGGACAAGTCCTATCACAGTAGCGAAAAACACTAGACCATGATACAAATGCCGGAAATCAGTGATCCAAAAGAAGCTCTGAAAAAATTCAAGAGTAAACTAAAAGCGGTAGGAAGAAGATTTGAAAACATCAGACAAATGAAAAATGGGACTATCATTGTAGAAAGTTTTAACAGAGATCAACAAATTAACAAAACATAAACATTAAAGAAGTTCAAAATACTGACCCTATGTTTACGATAACATGGATTGAAAAGGGTTTCTCAGAAAAAAAGGTTCTAACTGAGCTAGAAAGATTGAATTTCGAAATTGTTGAGCAATTGGAATACAATGTATCAGATAAAATGCAGGTAGTTGCCAAAAAACAATGTTGCAACCCACTAAAAGAGAATTGGATCCGGCCAGCTAAACCTGACATAGGTAAATGGTTTTTCAAAAGGGGTACATTTGAATATGGCCGAGAATATGGCAGTTTGTCACAAGTGTTGTGGTTTTGGACAAATGAAAATGAATATAGCCCTATTCATCAAAATGTTCAGTCACTAGGAAATTCCATTCGAACAATAGCCTCAAATTAGGATTATTTCCAGACAAACTGAAACAAGCTCTAATAAAACCAATTTACAAGAAAGGTGACCCAGAAGTAATTGAAAATTACAGACCAACTGTCTGAATTTTCGAAAATTTTTGAATTGGTAATGTGTGATAGAATGAGCTTTTTAAATGACTGTAGCCAGTTTAGGGAGCACCAACATGTTTATATCTCTGGCAAATCCATTGAAACAGCTCTATTTCAATTTACTAAAGGAATTCTAAAACATACTGAACATAATGGATTATCACTAGGCATTTTTTTTTGGATTTGTCAAAGGCATATGATTGCATTGATCAGGATCTCCTACTTTAAAAACTAGATTTGTATGGAATAACAGGACATGCACTTGAAATGTGCAAATCGTATTTAATGAATAGATAACAAAGTAACACAAGATGGAAACTCATATCCTTTAGACATAGAGGAAAGTTCGCATGGAATTGCACAAGGCAGTATATTAGGATGTACTGTTTATAATATACCGACATGTAGGGTTTCCATGCGTCCGGATTTACCCGGACATTTTTGGGTTTTTAGGGTGTCCGGGGAAGTCCGGTCGGAATTCGGAACAATGTCCGGAAAACTTGGAGATCGTGAAAACAACGTAACTTTGTTAAATATTTCAATCGTTACGGTTATTTATTAACTTCTGTAAAAATGTATTTTTGCAGAAAAGTACCAAAATTCATCCTTTATACAAATTTTAAATTATTTTTCCTACTACCGTGCGTAAAATACTCACTTTACGCACTATTCAGAAGCTGTAAAATTTCACTTCACGCGCCGGTACGTACTGTAATTCACTTTACACACTACACCTTTTCCATTTGTATTTCAGATACCGACAGTTTTATTTCAGAAAGCGTCAATTGTATTTCAGATTAGTTCACTTCATTTCGGAAAGTGAACTGGATTTCAGATTAGTTAATTTAATTTCGGAAAGCGTAAATTGCATTTTAGATTAAATGATTGTATTTCAGAAAACGTGAATTTTTTGATTTTGTCAGATGTAGTTCAGAAATCATCAGATGTATTTCAGATAATAATGGATATTTATTTTATGAGGAGTATAAGAAATACTATGTAATGTGACGCGCATGGAAACTTGAATACTGAGCGGAGGTAGGTACCTACGCAGATTTTAGATTTTCCTAAATCGAAGCAACCTAGGTGTGTAGGTTACCCATTATAAATTTTATTCAATACACTAAATTGATGACATCTGAAATACATTTGACGAATTCTGAAATACAAGTGACCAAACTGAAATACAAATGACGTTTTCTGAACCACAACTGACAAAGTTGAAATATAAATAACACTTTCTGAAATTAAACTCACACAACTGGAATATAATTGACGCATTCTGCACTAGAATTGATGAATCTGAAATACAAGTGATACATTCCACATTCTGAAATACTTATGGAAAAGGTGTAGTGCGTGAAGTAATGTCAATGACATATATAATATGTTGACATTGTCATTTTTTTATAGTAAATTACTTCACTTAACGCACTAGTGTGTATAAAGTAGGTATTTGTCTAAATTTATTTTTTTACACATATTTTATTAGTAATAGGAAAAAATTTGCATGCAATACGTGTGTAAAGTGAACCTTTTGTCACGAATGTGAATTTTGACTGACTGACTGAAAAAATTCACATTCGTGAAAAAAGGTTCACTTTACACACTTGTTGCATAAATAGCTACTTCGGCGAAGTCCGGATTTTGTCCAGATTTCTTAACTTCTTTGTTCTGAATTCCGAAAAACCTTTATGGAAACCCTACCGAAATGGCATCTAGGTATTCCATTGTAGATTCGAACAAAGAATGTATGTGTGTAATGCAAACGATACAATCCTACTTGTAGGGGGGAAAGATGTTAATGATTTATTTAACAATGCTAACATATTATTCAAGAAAACAGACAGCTGGTTCAAACAGAATAAGTTGATCCTAAACATTGAAAAATCAAATGCTATTATGTTTAGAACAAAGCGGTCCAACCTAAATAAACCAGCCACTGTAGAATGTAGTCATAACGTTGTAAATATTGTGGATAGTGTTAAACTCCTAGAGGTGAATCGAGGGGTGAATATTGATGAATTTATGGATTGGGCAGGGCATATAAACACCCTATAAAAAAGATTAAATTCTGTATGTTACGTAATCAGAGTTGTGAGTGGATATATGGACCACAAAACTATTAAAATAATGTATCAGGCAAACTTTCTATCGGTCCTAGAGTATGGAATTATTTTTTGGGGAGGGAATGGTGACATTAAAAAGATTTTTGTAGTTCAAAAGAGTCTTCTCAGACTTATGAAGAATATGCAATTTAGTGATAGCTGCTGTAGCTAAGTATTTAACAGTGAAGGTTTGGTGACAGTGTATGGTGTATATATAGCGCTTATTTTTTTATTTAAAAATCGGAGGTCGTTTGAACTGTAGATAACCCAGAGTTACAACACCAGAACACTGAATGTGAGTTACCCAATCCACAGATTAACATTGACTGAGAAGAGCCCCTATTATATGTGTCTAAGATTTTTTAATAAGTTACCAAAAAATATAAAGGAAATAATCAGTTTTCAAACTTAAAATTAAGGCACTCGTTATTTATTTGGAATCCTATTCAGTCGGGGATTTCTTGGATAGGTCAATTTAATATTAAATAGGTTTTGTATATTTTTGAAATATTTGTATCCATAGCCAGTGTAATCTATGACACACTATTTACTTTGTATTTGTATGTTTTTCAGTTTTCAAGTATCTTCAATATACAAATAGATACAATTATTTCTTACCTCTCCACTACACCATCCAAGTCCTTGGAAGTCTTATAGACATTATATGCATCTGGATGTATGCCTTCCAGTACATGTTTTGCCCCAGCTCCCATTCTTAAATCGTGCTTGATCAGCCTTATAATGGTTTTTAAATCATCTGGAGTCAGAGTTTTTATAATTTTTGAAAAATGACTGATTTGGTCATCCTCTTTGGTCAGTTTTGATAAATGTTCCAGAAAATTGTCAACTTCTTGGACTGTTATTGTTGATTTTGAAGTTATTGGATTAAATTTTTTGCTCCGATTGTAAAAATGGCTTATCGTATCACTAATATCACCTGAAAAATATGAAATATAAGCATCAGGGCCTCGATTAGGACATACCTAAGTACAGTAGAACTCTGGTTATCCATACCGTGGGGGGCACCCTCCTAGGAAAACTGAAAAGTTGGATAGTCCGGATATACATAAATTTAAGTACATGCTTAAAGAGTCCAAATACCTCGCCAAAAACATAAATAGGAGAACCACTCACTTGGCCAAAGGGATTCTCCATCTGCCCTGGAGATACACTGTACATGTGTACCCGGGATAATGAGGGGCTTTGGGTTCTTGGATTGGCTCGGTTAATCTAGAGCTCGGAATTGCAACTCGGATAATCGGGGTTCTACTGTATTTGTTTTTAAATACAAAATGTTTACTGGAGGATTTACTGATAGGTTAACTTACCTTGTTCCAAATGTGCCATCATTTCATCTTGATCTTCAAGAAACATCTTACTGAAAATTTTAACCAATTGTTTACTTTGCAAATTATAAATTCTTTTTACACTACCAGGCAATAGCAGCCTGCACCAGATTTCAATGTCTCCTTTAAATGAATTACCATCAGAGCCTTTATCAAAGAATTGCTTGATAATTCCAGTTTTGTCAAGATAACTTGGATGTTTCGCTACTTTTTCTACTATTTTTTGAAAGATTTTGAATTGATTGTCTTTATTTACTTCTTTTTTCACATCTACATCAGCAGCCAATTTGTTTTGTTCAGATTTAACTGCCTTTTTAGGTTTTTTCGTTGGTGTTTTAGTACTGCCTCCAAAGGAAACCCTTAAATCTCGAATTTTATCCTTTATACTGGTTTGTTGGTCAGCAGAAATCAATTCGAACCCAATGATATCATCTTCACTCTCTATTCTTTTGGTGGTAGCTCGTTGCTTCTTGAACGCTTCAAAAAGGCAGTCAATGTGATGCCAATTTTTCATTTTACCATCGGCAAAAGGATTTGCTACAATTTTTGCTATCCTTAATTCTCCTTGTAAACATTTTTGTTTGCATTTTTTACATCCTGCCCTGCCATTCTTTGCTACATCGATTTCGAAGACTCTCTCCTCCTCGGTATCGGACATATTTTGTTAAATATGTGAATTAACGAGCGTAATCTTTGAACCTTAGACCTCTGAACTAATAAAAGAATACACACTTTTTGAACTTCAAACAAATACAGACACGTTCCCTTGTTTAATGATATTTAAAATTTAAATTTCTCTGTTCGGCTTTTTGAATGTTGATTGTTGAAGGTTCAAGTCGCAGTCGCAGTCGCAATACTCGCACCTCGCAGTTTTGGACGGTTTGTTGTAATTGGTTGTAAAAGATCAGCTGGCGTTAAGACATCAGTCAAATTTCAAACTGTCGAAGCGAAAACGTCCGCTTCAGCCAAGGATAATATACATTACTATTACTACTACTACAGGATAGCCTATCCTCAACCGCTGGCGCAAACAGCTGACGACTTGATTAATAATGACGTCGACAATGGTGCTACACCAATAGGCCACGATTATCAAAAACGAGGCCGATAAGCAATCAGTCGTATGTATTATTCTTCAAAAAAAAAAGATGTAAGCTAACGCCATGGAGGAACAGGGGAAAAATGATGGTGTTCACCAGGAATCCACAGGCCCGTGATTCTAAAAATCACGATTCGACGACATACGACTCGACAAGACGATTTTTCCGACGATCCTAGGTTAGAAATCTCATTAACCCTTTTCACGTGGCTCCGGTTTAACAAACCGCAACATACCGCTCAAATTAGGCATTCCAGGTCACGTGACTTTTGACAGGTCCGCTGGGGGGTGGGGGGCAAACAAAGCCTAGATCAGTATTTACACCGTTCTTTGAGATTGTGTTTCCGAATTTTTGCGTTCTTAAATTCTCTCAATAAGCTTTAAGTTGTTTTTGTGGTAGAATGGCTAACATTGACTATTATTCATCGTTAGCTAGTGATGTGAAATGTCGGTATGACCAAAAAATACAAATAATTGCCAATATAGATCCTTATAAACTTCTACCTAATGAGTTTACTTTAAGTATCAATGAGTTGCCAGAGGTTTCAATTTTGGATTTTTCCGAATATTTGACCCACACCCACAGTTACTACACAGGCTGGACTACCTAAAAGGTATTAAAAGTAAATATTACTTGTAGAAACAAACCAATTTTTCAATATAAATGTGTTTTTGTATTTTAACAAGACAGTCATAATACTTACCATTAACAAAATGTTTTGAACAAATACGAGCATTTTTCAGAAACGATTCAGTTAAATCTCTCCTTTTGAGGCATTTAATCCACAGATTTCGTCGTTCCTTTTTTAGCTCGTTTAGACGATTCTCTAGATCTCTTAATGCTGCTGGGATCCTGAAAAACCTTTCTTTATCTCTTTCCGCTCTACTAGAGCACCTAACAACGCAGCAAATAGAAGGCATCTTCACAAAATAGATTGAAAATTCTTGGTTTAACATTGAATCAGGTTATGTTTGGCTTTTGTGTGCCCCCCAAACTAATATGGCGGATCGGTTATGACATTAACCTGGAATGCCTAATTCGAGTGGTAGGTATCCATCACGTCACTTTTGTAACCGGGTTAGAAAACGGTATGTCATTTCTCTAACCGTTTTGTAACCCGGTTAGTTAAATCGGGGCCACGTGAAAAGAAACTATTGGAATCAGGTCGGGGATTCTAAAATCACGATTCGACAACGAGACGATTCTAGGTTAGAAATCTCATTGGAATTATACCTTTCGACACGACAAGGCCGGTATCGTTGTCGAGTCGTGTGTCGAATCGTGATTTTAGAATCTGGCCCATACCTTATGGCAAATAATTAAGGCTATAGTTCTTTTCACGTGGCTCCGGTTTAACTAACCGGGTTACAAAACGGTTAGAGAAATGACACCGTTTTCTAACCCGGTAACAAAGTGACGTGATGGATACCTACCACTCGAATTTGAGCGGTATGTTGCGGTTTGTTAAACCGGAGCCACGTGTAACCAAAGTAATCGAATTGGTTGACAGATGGTTACTGGAAATTCCGGTTACTTGGGGAACGCGAATCTGAAATAAAAAATAATAGAGAGAATTTAGGGTAGAGTGGGGCAGGTTCGGACGGATTTTGTTAACGTGATACCGAACTTTTATTTCAGCTAATATTAATGTTCTAAAAACGCAAATATATTGCATCATATGTTTTTAAATCAATACCATAGCAATTTCAGAAAAAACTTGCATCATTTTTCGTGAAAATTAAAATAAAAAAAAGTTGCCATTTGTCCGAAGGTGCCCCACGGTGGGGCAGTTTTGGACACGCATGGGGCAACTCCGGACATATGCTTCATAAACAGTTTATTTTTTGACAGGAATATTTTAAATAATTTAGCATCAATCTAAACATCAACACTTATAGTTTAAAAGGAACTCCAAACATACAAACCTACGAACTTTGGCACTAGCCTACAAAAATAGAGAATATAAAAATAACAAAACTAAATAATGACAAAAAAACGTAAATTGAACATGTTTTTATTATTAAAGTATAAAAGAATTTATTTTAGATTGAAAGAACTAAAATTTACGTTGAATTTTAAAAATTTAGTCATGCGAGCATTCCCAGCATGAGAAGTTGATAGTCCGAATGTGCCCCACCCTGTACTGTCCGAATGTGCCCCACATGCAGTGTTGCCAACCTATGATTTTATTATTATAATACAAACCTTCAAAAATTATTATACATTATTAATTTTCGATTTAGACATTATTATACAAATTATCATACACAAAATATTAAGTTTTTTTCGTTATCTTGGTTATATAGTAGCCTTGTTTGTTTATTTGCTTGCACCAAAGTTACACCAGAAGCTGCACTAGATCAGTGAAAGTGAAAACAGACTACAGAGACAGACGTTTAAACATCATAATTATGACTTTGAAATTTGAGTTGTTGTCGTCATCAACGTTAGGTAGGTATTTATGAATCTGCGCTATGATGAAGTTAGCTGTAGAGTGCTTGAAAAGGCGCCAAAATCTTCTGGCGCTTTCTACTAAGTTATGCAACCTAGCAACACACAACACAACATAACCTTGTTTTTCTTTGCTTTCTGTTGGCGACTATGATTTACTAATTTAGAGAATTTTTTTTTTTTTTTTTAAATATTATGCAGTTTTCGACAAGTTGAAGAATTATTACAAATTATCATACGCTAAAACGTTACAATACGCATTCGTAAAATTACAATACAAATTAATAATTATCATACGGTTGGCAACACTGCCCACATGCACAAAATGTGAAATAAACTAAAAAAAAAAATGAAAATCCTGTCTTGTCGATTCTTGAAATATAGCTTATGTGGTGTGAAACTATCATACTTTGTACGTATACCCACTATACCCCTTTAAAACTTAAAAATTACATCACAAAATCGTGCAAAACCTTACGAGTAGAGGACATAATACTTAGTTGGGGTCATTATTTATGTATTTCTGGTGATCACTGCCAGATTTCTCAAGATACCGGCACGAAATTTTGTCTGGCGATATGGAGCAAACACTGGTACCAACTGTTAAAATGCCGAAACGCGTTTAGTTTTGGAAGGCGATAAATTCAAAATGTCCGGAGGTGTCCCATGTCCGAACCTGCCCCACTCTACCCTACAGATAAAACCAACAGAACCGCCATCCGATAGCTGGTAACTATTTTGACATTTGGTTAATCAGTTTTCAGGAAATCAAGGTCCAAAAATAACCACTTTTCCAGGAACCAGAATAATTTGATTACTTTTGAACCTCGAAACCACAACCCTGGGTATATTCGGACTACAGTACAGCCTCAAGGCCGGAGTCTCATGCATCCGTTTTCCGATGAAAGATGTCCGAAAAACCTTCTATTCTGATATATTCTTATATACGATTATGTCAGAATAGAAGGTTTTTCGGACATATTTCGTCGGAGAACGGATGCATGAGACTCCGGCTTTAAATCTCATTGATCTCAATGATTTAAATGGACATCTATCAAAAGAAATTGAAATCGACGTATTTGATGACTATTATGTCCATCAAATACGTTGTTTTCCATGTTTTATGATGGATGTTCACCTAAATCCCATATATTCAGATTTGAAATAAGCAATAAGTGGGCGCAAGATGGCGGCGTTTGCAATTAAATATATGGGATTTTAGAACCATTCAAAAATAAGACAGCAATTGTCGTCACTCTGGGTAATAGAGTCACTCTACTGCGGTCAGAGTTCCAAGGATGAAAATGGCGGCCGCGGCCAGGATCATATCTTTACAACATAACCACAAATTATTTTGTTATTATTTTTTTAGAAATAAATACCAGTGCGAACTGCAAATACTTATATTTATATATAATAAATTTTAATATTCTCCATGCAAGCTAGTTGGTGCTAAAGCTATAATAAATATTCAATCAACATGAGTTTCGATGGATATAAAGCGACCGTAAAAGAAGGCGATACAGTTGTCCTATATTTAACCATTTCTCAAGTGTACAGTATAAAAGCCCAAGAAAAAACCATAAATAAAAAAGGAATCGAAGTAGAAAGCGTTTTTCAAACACCTTATGGAGCCCTTAAATGTGCGGAACTTGTAGGCAAAACTTACGGTTCCAAAGTTTCCTTGAGTAAAGGCTGGGGATACATCTTACAGCCAACTCCAGAATTATGGACGTTAACACTCAGCCATCGTACACAAATCATTTACACACCGGATATCAGTATGATTATATTCCAGCTGGAATTATGTCCCGGTAGTATAGTAGTCGAGAGTGGAACTGGAAGTGGTTCATTGTCACATGCATTCATCCGGGCAGTGAAACCTCATGGACATTTGTATACTTTCGATTTTCACGAGGTTAGAAGTGAGATTGCCAGACAGGAATTTGATGATCATGGATTGGGTAAGTATTCCTTTCTCGATTCCTTTATGCCTACATCTCGGCCTACATGGGTCAGAATTTGCCAATTAATTATTATTGTTTGTTATTTAATTATTTACTGTAACGCCTTTCACCTGATATGACTATTTGAAATGGATCTAGTTGAAAGTGAGGATGAGTGATTAGGTACTATTAACAACACAACCTGATATCTCGCATGAGCCTGACATAGTAGACCTAGTAGGGATAACAAACTATCGATAGGAATATCGATACTATCGATATTTTTATCATTTTCGATAGTATCGATAGACCTGTACCACTATTGATAGTTCCAAATGGCCGGTTTCTCAATAGCGAGTCACCTCCGAGTTGGTTTTAACTTCAGGGTAAGCGAGCCCAGTTGCAATAATTGTATTCCTTTCACACCTAGGAGGAACTCTGGAATAGCTCCGTAGCGTTATGCGCTTATTCCTTTCAAAAAATGTTGCACCACGTATTTCTTCCTTTCAAATCGGGGTCGACTAACACCGGAGCGAGTAGCTCGAATGTTCCAAACTCTTGAGGGCCGGTTTCTCAATCAATAGCGAGTGAATATAAAGAAATCTGTAGCTGTTTTGAGAAATCTGTAATTATTTTTTGGGGGTAGACATGCTGTGCTGCCAATTTTTAATTTTTAGGTTAACAGGAATGGCGAACAATGTGACGAGCAATGAACTATTCGCGAAAGGTCCCGAAGTAGGCGACATCTATGATCAACTTTGGTACTCAAATCTCAGTGAACAACAAAGCAAATTTGCATTTGGCCCCCGGCATTGTTTCTGGAAGATACTGGAAGTTTTTAATTTTCTACAGAATATTATTCTTTTTATGTATTGTTTCTGTAATATAAATCACAAAAACTCCATAAAACAAAATTTAACAAAAACTAACCTCAAAAAACTGGCTTTGTTATTCACTGAGTTCGGCAGACATATTGCTATTTTTCGCGTAATTTAACGCTATCTATTGGTACAGGAATTTCGCCAATAACCAAAAACTGGAATGCTAACAGATAAGGACGAACGTGAAGCCTAGTGCGGCTGCTGCGGAGGGGATACCTGTTTTTGTCGCACTCATTATGTTAAATGGCGAAAATTGCTTCCAACACGTATTCCAATTGATGAAACCTGTGAAGGGAAATATGACAAAACTTTCGAAAACGTCATATGGCATCTGTCTTTCATGGCTACATTTTTTTGGCAGATATGGCAATGTGTGCGCATTCCAGTTTTTAGCTATAGTTCATTGGTGACGAGTGACTTTCATGGACTTGATAGGGGTTGGAGGTTAATGTTTATTTAAGGTTATGTAGTTATTGTTGTCATTTGCTAAATTTATTTCGTAATTATTTAGAAATTTGGTTACTTTGGTCAGGGCAAACTATCGATAGTACAATCGATAGTTACTATCGATAGATAAGCCATTCTATCGATATCACTATCGATAGTTTTTTTTTCGATAGTTTGTCAACCCTAAGACCTAGCGCGATCATTTTGTTTACCTAATATCGAGAGGCTCACCTACAATGGCGCACCCAGGTTTTTTATTTGGGGGGGGGGGGGGGGGGTTTCATAATGATGAAGGCTCGCCGCAGGCAGGCGCTGCCGTAGGCCGGGCATCATAGGAAGAATTTTTTTTCGGGTGTCACGCCCAAAAACGCTTATTTTAAGCCTTCAAAAAATAACTTTTCGTGAGTGATTGCATAGTGTCAGAGCTGCTGGGCAACATGCGAATAATGATACCACATGCAGATGGATCAAGTCCATGCTGAAACACAGGACTATAAACTCGACTATCGCTGAAACCTCTGGAGTACTTTCACCACTCTTGTGGAATCTAATCGTGGATAATGCCGGTGAAACAATTAAACCGTTCAAAACCCTGAACAATGTGCATAGATCAAAATACAACAACCATCACCTAAACCGTAAATCTACTGAAGAAATCCTACAAACTAAACAGGAATCAAATCAGGCTAATAACTGGACTTATAACTGGATACTGTAGCCTCAGAAAACACCTTCAAACGATAAGCATCCTCCAAGAAAGAACCCATATGCAGACTTTGTGACGAGAATGATGAAACCGCCACCTACATAATCTTTGAATGTGAGGCTTTACGCTGGTGGAGATACAAATAGATAGGGTCAGAAGACCATATCTCTAAACTCACCAAAAGTAACTCGGTGAAGAGGCTCCTAAACCTAATCAAGGTTAGGAAACTTTTCACTGACTAAACAGACGAAGAGGAAAATACAATAGGCCGACGGCTGCAGTGTTGGGGTCACCTAACAGCCTGTTCATTCTGCATCTTAACCAACCAACCAACCAACCAAGTTATTTGTTTAATTCGCTGTCTACTCACTAAATCAACTCGCTGTAGTAGGCAAAACCTTTTAGGGGTGCCATGTATATAAAATAGAAAGTTTGTAGGTACCTATTAACCAAAATCGCAAAAAAAAAAATATTTTTACCGGAAAATTCTTTGTACTAGTGCTAAATTTGGGGGGGGGGGGGGGGGGTTTAACCCCCAAAACCCCCCCCCTTGGGTGCGCCACTGCTCACCCATTATCATTGTCAAATTACATTTTCTGTCTAGCTAGAAATAGTCCACTTTTTCTGACTAGGCAGTAAATCTTTAACTGTCATCTCGTTTGTCATTCAAAGAATTTTTTTTTTGTTTTTAACTTTCTAATTAAAAAGCGAGTTAAAAAGTGACTAATGACACTTGTACCAACGTGCCTTTTCTTGTGCTATTTTTTATTTATTTTTTTATTTACAAGATGTCCTCATTTTACAGAGAATATTATCACATTAAAAGTTTTCCTCGAAGTTTTCTTCAATCTGGTAACCTAAATGCAACCAAGTCAAAACCAACATTTTGGTTTACAGCTAAATGCAATCCCCAAAGATTCACATCATGTTTTCAATATACCAGTTACCTCGGGGGGCGGTCAACTTCCTCAAAATGTGTACACCGATTTAAAATCACTCTTGATTTTAACTGATTTAACAGATTTGATCGCATTTAAGAGATTTTTATTCAAACCTTAACTGATTTAAGGTAATTTAAAGATTTGTTGGATCATTTAAAAAGATTTAAGCTGATCTAGGAAGATTTAACCTGATTTAGGAAGATTTAACCTGATTTAAGAAGATTTAAATGGATTAAAGATTTTTTTAAGATTTGAACCTCGATTTGAACTGATTTAACCTGGGATGATTCAAGGTAGTTAATTTAATCCTGAGAAGATGAAAATGTATCTAATAACCAGATATTTTAGTGCTAATGGGTACTTTCGCTCTCATAATAGTCCAATTTAAATTTTGAACTAATAAAAAAAAATCTAAAAGTGATAAAGTTTGTGAGGCTTTTGCGGCCCAGGTTTATTAATAAGGTGTGTTCATTCGGGCTTAATAGCCATCGTAAGTTGGAATTTCTTCCTTTTTCTTAGGAAGAAATTCCAACTTATGACGGCCATTTATCCTGAATGAGAACACCTTATAAGTTCTAAAAGTGCCACCAAAGTCAAGCTAGTCTTGGTACACAATGCAATTAAATAATTAAAACTTGAATTTGAATTTACAAAAAATTTGAAGATTCTTCCTGTGCTGCCAACAAAAACACACACGCGCAAGCCGCAAACGGATATAAGCGATTGCACCTCGAGGTTTGTCGAGTTGGAGTCGCCCAAAGTTTGCGCGGGATTTTAACCATTTTTTTATCGATTTGAAATGATTTATGGAGATTTATGAAGATTCAGGGTTGGCATAGAATTTCCCCAGGTTATAAAACCCAGTGGGGTTTTTCGGGATTTTTCAATTGATAAAACCCACCATTATTGGGTTTTTTGGGTTTTTTCAAAAATAGCAAATCAGTTGTTGAAAGTCATTTTCACAGGAAATATCAGGGATTCCCCGATGATTCTCCAGTCCCCCGCTGTTTGCTGTTGGCATTTGGCGTGGAGGTCTGGGCAGGGACTCAGTGCCATGTAGAATTTAGAATTCAACATATCGAATGTGCCGAGTCTATAGAATCCTGTCAATATGTAGAATTCTACATGACACGGAGTCTCTGGGCTGGCTTGCCAGAGGTGTGGTGCAATGCACTGATGCCAAGTGTAATTACCTATATCAAGTGGGTTGTTTTATTTTGTAAGGATATTTTATTTTTGTAACAAAAGTCATAATTTTTGTAATACTTTTGCTAGAGCAGAAACCGAGGCAGAAACTTTAAATCAAATTTGAAGAAAAAAACGAAAACATCCGAAAAGCCCCAAAAGATCCAAAAAACCCCAAAAAACCCATAAAAACCTAAAAAAAAACACATAGAAACCCAAAAAAACCCGACGGGTTGGACTTTTTCAAAAAAAAAAACGGGTTTTTTCCAACTCTGTGAAGATTTATGAAGATTTAAAAGGATTTAAAGAGATTTAACGAGATATGAAGGGATTTAAACAGATTTAACTAGATTTAAAAAGATTTAAAGGGATTGTAAGAGATTTAAGAAAATTTAAATTGATCTGACCTGATTTAAAGTGATTTGATATGATTTATGAAAAAACTAAGGTGATTTAAGGAAATTTATTTAGGGATTTAAAGTGTTCCAGATCTCAGATTTTTAGGGATTTAATTGATTTAAAAAGATTTGAGAGGGATTTAAAGAGATTTGAAGGGATTTAAAGAGATTTCAAGGGATTAAACCTCATTTAATCTGATTTAGAGCAAAAAAAGATGATTTATGTGATTTAATAAGGGATTTAAAGTGATTTAAGTCCATTTGTACACCGATTTAACAGAGTTAACCACCCCCCGCGTTACCTGTTCAGACACTGTTTGAACTCCGTATCTTTAGTAGGATCAATCAGATCATAATTCCTCGTATAATTTATCATAATACTGGTTTATGTTAAAGATTTAACAGGAGAGAAAGTCACACACTACCATAATGTCCGTGGCATGAAAGTCTATAAAAACCCTTACCTGTGATTCCATGATTGTAAAAATGGTGATGTTCACAGTTAATACTAAAAATTAGTGGTGGGTGGTGGGTGTCTACAAGCAACAGTCTTTTGTCTGCATAGAGAGCTGTAGCTTCCTTGTCCTGCAAAAACACTAGATCCAGGATAGATTTGTTTCTAAGTGAGTTTACCTGATATAGGTTATGGTATGACTGGTATGAGCACAAAAATGATAGTACTTGGAGCTTAGAGCAGTTAAAGGCAAAGAGGAGTAGTAAAGTTGGAAAATGAAGCCGTTTTTTCCAGGTATTTTGGCACCAAAAAAATGGTGATATAGGCCAAATCAACTTTGGACCATTGTCCAAAACACACACTTTACTATCTGGGTATGCTTCCGTCAGTTTTTCCAGGCTGTCAGCAAACTGTGCATACGTTTCAAAGGCACTCTGAGGTGAGAAATAAGCAGCTGCAAAAAATAAAATTGGTACCGTTCATATTGATCTGCACAAATAAATGTTCAATGTTACTACTTGCTTCCAGGACTCGACTTTTAATATTCTTTTGAACTGCTATTAGTACCCCACCCCCTCTTGAGAAAACAGCCTCCTGTAAATATTGAAATCAAGCATTTGAAGTTCAGCATCCTGGAAGTGTTCCGTCAACCAAGTTTCATTAAAAACCAAGATATGGTATTCAGAGTAAGAAACATTCTCAAAAAGCAAGTGAAGCTTGATGCGTAAGCCTCTAACATTTTGGAAATAGACATGTAAATTGGATGTGGATTTTAAGACTAAAAAAGTAGTTAGTTTTTTGTTGCCAGTCTGGGAATCCCATTAATGTACTTCAAAAAAAGGTTCTTTCCACCTTTCAGCAGTCTTTGCTTCAGTTTGTTTTTTAAGTTGTTGAGTTCCACATGTTGTTCAGAAGTTAAGTCAGTTTCCAAATATATGCCCCTGCCTCTAACCAAAGATGAAAGTTTTGAGGAGATTGTTTCTTTCATTTCTACTTAAACATATATGTATTTACATACAACTAAAAACATACTCACACAATATATACAGACACACCCAGTAACACTTACATTCCACACAGACACGACGTATACAAACACCTAAAAACATAGAACACGTAAATTTTACATACTGTTTGTTTCACGAGAGTTTGTACTTTTGCCTTCCTTTTTTAACAAATACAAATTGACTGAGACAAATTAATGACGTCGAGAACGTTTGTAGGTTTTTAAACCAGAAGTCATTCAATACAATACAAAATCGCTATTGAATTTATATGAATCAATCTTCGACAAACCTTTTTTTCCAAGTAACTTATCGATGTCATAAGGGTTAGTATTCTAGGGTTAATTTTAAATTTGAGCCAAATAATTATGCTCAAAAACACTTATTTAATCATTTCTAAATAAAAAAAGTGTCATATTAGGCGCAGGGGTCATAGTAAATAAATAAATTTTTTTCTTGCCTATAGATAATTCCCCTGGTAATTCTTAATTCATAAAAATCTAAACATTGATGTTTTTGAGAATTACAGAGAGAATTACCAAAACTAATAAAAATTAAGAATTAAATGAGAATTAAGGAATTGGTTGCCTATATAACATATAATGCTAATCCCTCCTTAAATGCTAAATATCTCCAACAGTTTTAAAAAATCAAAATTTTCAAGCCACACATTTTTTTTAGGACAATATGTTACAGTGTGCCATAAAGATGTCTGTGAAAATGGCTTTGGAGAAAATTTGAATGGTATAGTTGATGCTGTTTTCTTAGACTTGCCTCACCCTTGGCTAGCTGTGCCACATGCCGTTAAAGCTTTAAAAGAATCTGGAGGTAACTTATAAATACACTGTGGCTCAAATTTAAAGTAGTACAATTTTTAATCGTTAACACATTTGATTAAGTAGCTTGTAGATTATTTGCGAATATAACAAAGGACAACTTGCTAGCCTTTGTCGTTTTTTTATCTGTAGTTTAGAGGGAGACCGCACCTTCAAACATCTTTTTCTCACCTGTATCACCATCTTGCCAATTTTTTAAAGACAAAATTCTTAAGATGAAAAAATCGTTTAATCAAGTTATTTTTTTTTTGAGTACCTAGGTACCGGGTGATTTTGTATATTTTGCACCCACACCTATCTCACCTGTTTGAAGAGATACCCAGAAATATCAAATGTGAGAGTTGCAAGTAATATCAGAAAGTTTTAAATGATGTTAGTTACAAGTATACAGGGTGTATCACAAAAGTGTAGCGAAATAAAGTTATACTTTTTTAAATGAAAAACCACTATATTATTGTCCCATTGGATGCGCCTTTCAAACCTGATTCAAAATATACTAGGTTTTTTAGGTTTATTCCTTATCTCGTTCCTTATAGTCCAGGAGAAAATAGCACAAACAGGGGTCGAATAATTGCATATTTTATTGAAAAAGGTGAAGTCTGGAAACCACCAGCAAAATATAAAGGTAATCATTTATACAAAAAATCCATTTTATTTCTTCAAAATGGGATATTTAGAGGCTGGACTATGAGGAATAAACCTAAAAAACCTAGTATATTTGGGATAATGATATACGGGGTTTTCTATTTAAAAAAGTATAACTATGCTGCGCCACACTTTTGTGATACACTCTGTATACTTGTAACTAACATCATTGAAAACTTTCTTATATTACTTACAACTTTCACATTTGACATTTCTGGGTATCTCTTCAACAGGTGAGATAGGCGTGGGTGCAAAATATAGAAAATCACCGGGTACATTATATTTTTTTTTTCAATAGCTACAACCATCTTTGAGTGATTAGGAAATACGTCCCTTTTTTGGAAGAGAATCAATATTCCAACCTCATCCAAAAATAAGTTGAAAAAAATAAAATGATAAGTGACTAAAAAATGTGTTTCTTTAATGTGAGCCTCATAGTAAATATTAATATTTATACTGCAATATTTTCCATTTAGGAAGGATCTGTTCTTTTTCACCTTGCATAGAACAAGTTCAAAAAACATGCTTGGAACTGACTAGATTGGGCTTCCAAGAAATTCAGACCATGGAGGTACTTCAGACCCAATACAATGTTCAAACGAAACATATCCCTGTGAAGGATTTGGATTTTTTGAAAATGGCAAAATCCGAAAACAAATCAGATGGTGCAGAGAAAAAGGAAAGTGAAGTGGCAAAATTTTTAACGGCAATTCCACCAATGCAACAGCCAGGACATACGGGATATTTGACATTTGCAAGTTTGTATCCAATTTGGTCAAGAAAGCTAGGGATAAGTATAGATGAAAATGAAACAGATTAAAAAAAAAAGTTGAAAATAAGTAAATTAGTTTTTGTTTTGTTTTATTATCCCAATGTAATGGCTTCTGACAATTTCTGTTTATGATACCAGTGTCAATCTACATAAGATAGTATAGGGTAAACTTTTCTATGTATATAGGTATAGTTTCAGGATTATTTTTTGTTTGTTACGACTATCGATAATCAAAAGAGCATAAGCCGAGGTTTAAGCATCACTAATAATTTTATTGGACTATAGACTCTTGAGAAAAAAATATTTGGTTTAAATCATAATAATCGGTTGAGGGTTATGGTGCTTGGAGAATTATTTGTTCCTTCCAGGATTCACTTCTTTGAATGCTGAAATAAGGAAAGTTTAAAAACCCCTTCAGCATAATATGGTTTATCTGATGAATAAAAGGGCACCTACAACGGAAATATGGAAGGAGACCAGTAGAGAGTGAATTAATAATTAATGAATAAGAGAACAAAATAACAAACTTGGTAGAGCAAAAAATCTACCCATATAATATATAGAAGGGTATGTTCTATTTAGGCTACTGAATAAATGAAAATGACGATGCTGCAATTTTAATTGAGCTTTTAGAGTATATAAAATAAAAAAAATATAGCAAATCAGGGATAGAATAAGGAATAAGGACTAAAAGTTTGTCTGAAGTGAACTTATACAAACATTAAGAACTATCACATTGGATATTATCTGAAAAACCGAGAGAGGTATCAAAAAAGGATCTGTGCAAGGCTTCTTACATTAAAAGAATTCTAATCTGAAAAATAAAAATACTGTATGGATACGACCCGCCTAAACAGTAATCCCCAAATTGCCAATTTTATTTGTCATTGATTGGCATGGGCTACCACTAAAATGCTCATAAACCTTTAATATATTCACATATTAAATTATTATGAAATCGATAAACAATATGGGTCAATTATCTATCTTTCTATTAAATTCATACACCATTTAGCTAAGTTAATAATCCTGATTAATCACATACCTACCAACATCTCTCATAAAAGTAAAGGAACGTGCGCCTTGCTAAGCCCCAAATCCTTCCGTCCGCCTCACCGCAACATTTAAAAGCTAGCAGGAGCCCCGAGAAGCCATAATCGAATCGCTGGTGTCGCATCGCTGACATCAAGTGACTTAGTTGATCCTTTTTGCTTCCAGTGATTTTTTCACCCCCCGGGGCTAATTAAGTGCTTTTCTTTTTTAATTGTGAAACGAAACTTGCAAAATGGTAAGTGATATAAAACATACTTGCTCCTAGATTTTATGTTATTTTTACTTCATGGTTTATTTATGTGTTATTTATCATAATTAATAATTAATAATAATTAATACTAAACTTAGTTTTGTATTACTTAGATGGTTTTCTAGGTATATAATTTTTTTGAGACATTAAGCTACTGCTCATGTTCAAGGTATCAAAAGTGGTCTGTCTAGGTAGGATGTTTTTGGTGATGACAAAATGATAAATATCTGTGGAAAGGTCTTGTATTAGCTGTAAATAATTTCCATTGATTCTTTTGGAATGACTATTATAATAAAATTGATTGAACACTGAAACTATGGTCTAATTGGGAACACTATTAATGTTTGAAAAAAACACGCTGTTTTGATGAAATAGGTACGTCTTTATTGTGAAGAATACAAAGTTCCTTATACATTCGCAGCATATATCGGAAACTTTCTTATTATCAATTTTACGAAAAAAAATTATTTCTTATAAAAGTTTCTGCTTCTTAAAAAAATAATATTTAAATACTTAAACTTGAAATAGCATCTACAGGGTGGTCAAAAAATAGACAAATATACAGGGTGTTTCCTAATTACGGTTCGTAATTTCAGGCTGTGATTCCTTATAATACTTTAAGAAAAAAAGTTCCCATAAACATGTGTCCGGAAATGCGTAGTTTCTGAGATACAGGGTGTCAAAGTTTTAGAAAACATCGTTTTTTTTTAGTTCAAAAATCCCTTTTCCAATTTTTTTTCAAATTTGGCAGGTTTGTTTGTGATAACGAAAGGTATCTTTCGACCGTGATATGATTTGCATAATCTGGAAAGAATATCAAAGGTTTTAAAAAATAGTGATGTGTCATTTTTTTTCTACTTTTACCAAAAAATCCTGTAAATTTTTCTATTTTCTGATCACCCTGTACATGCTATTTCAAGTTTTAATAGTATTTTTTCAAGAAGCAGAAACTTTTATAAAGAATAACTTTTTTTCGTAAAATTGATAATAAAAAAGTTTCCCATATGCTGCGAACTTATTAAGTGGACACACTGTATTTGTTTAACATAAAACTGAAACTTCAACAACATTGAACTTTCAATAGTCCCTAAAACATGGATCTTTGAAAATATTCAATGTCAAAATTCTATATGACCGACAAGGCTACCAAATCAGTTTTCTATATCTTCCTTTAGAGTTCTCATTTAGTATAGGTACCTTATATCAATGAAATAAACTTAGGGACTAGGGACGCCCTTCTGGAATTTGTTGGATAGTTAACCTGAAACACTCATTAGCCAGTAAAAACACGTTAGCAATATTTTGAAGTGAGTATTTATATTATTTGGTAATCTTGGTAAAATGGGACATAGAATAACACACCAATAATTGTATTTTTTTCGATATGAATAAGTGCCTCATGCAGGGTATATTCGTCTTAAACGGGCCAGGGGATGTGCGAGTTACCTACCTAACTTCACAGAATACCTATTATGAACCCTGCGAAGAGATGTTTTAATTTTATTTTCTAATTGTAACTGCATGATCCAAAATACCAAATTTGTGGCCTTAAAAATCAATACACGTTTGTCATACTATATTATTTTTTGATGTGTAGGACATTGAAATAACAAAATAAATGAACTGCATCATAGATAAGTCCTGTGCATAATTTACCTTTACCCTACTGTCTAGTCAAAGTAATTTGTAACTGGATGTACCTATGACGAGTTTATAAAATGCTTCATGTCTCCATATTTGCAAATTTTGTCTATTATTTAGATCTCAAAATACTGAGGATGCAGCAATAAGGTGAATGTTATTTAGCAGATAGATAATTTATAATTGACTCAATCAAGGATTATCAGATGTCATTATGTCCCGTTATCTTATTTAAAAAAACATTAAGATACAATATAGCCACCCACTATATGATGAGCCTTAGAAATTGTACCACATTAATCTCATTTAAAATGGAATTAAATCATTGTTTTAAAGGCTATTATCTTTACTTATGCCCATCCCAAAAGTCGTCAATTTTTTAATTTAACCACTCCTGAGGAGACTGAACTATAATTAAAGTCTTTCATCCGTCCTAATAGCAAATAAAATATATAAAAAGGAAGGCGCGGTTTGATTTTCTAGTCGACTGAAGAAAAATTGTTTAATGGGGTACACTACCGGCAATGGATCGTTCAAAAATATGAACATACCGGAAATAAATTGGGTTGGGAGTTGGTAGTTTTATTTAAGTAACTGTTGAATTTTCAGGGATTAAAATAGGATTTTATCGCCTATCATTTGATAATAAGTAGAACTTTATTTATTCCCAATACTGTATAATTTAAATTTCCTTCACGAATTAAACTTAATTTTAAATTTACAAAAAATTGAACATTCTATTTTCATCAAGGAACAATAAATCGCCAATAATAATCTAATTTCCTTCCATCTAGGAACATCCCTTTGTGCCAGTCACCGTTGTAATAGAAAATATAGCTTTGGGCTTTAGTTTGGGCCATTATTTATTAAAATTAATAAACTTTTTTTATTGAGGCACTATTAGGAGAACAAAGCTTTCGCGATTTAGGTACCTATAATGAAAAAGTATGATTTATGGTCTTATGCGTGTGTATGTCTCAAGCACCCTATAGAAGCAGCGAAAGCGCGAAAGTTTCACGGCTGTAGGGCCTATGATAAAACATAAAACTGAGTTTTTCCTGCTAAAAAAATAATTTTAAATAGAAAAATTCAACTTGAGTAGGTAGGTACCTACCCAAATATAGCAACGCTGGGGACGTCGGGACCATAAAATTGGCACCAGTCTAATATAGCTATACCCATTTCTATTATAAATTTGAATAAAGCAAAGTTGTTTTGAACGATATGTAGGTATTTGAATTTGAAAAAAAAAACTTCATAGCATACAGATTTTCTTTTTCTAGGTGTTCAGCGTCTTTCCTGGTGAGAGTTACTGGCGAGAATGTATCAACGTTTTTAGATACGATGGCGAGATGAATACATTATACCTTAATACTGGCAATCTTTTGAATTGCTAGCGTGTTTTCGAAAGTTTATAAATTCAAGTGAACATTTTATTATTGAATGTATTTTTATCAATTACATTTAGAAGCACTCGCAACTATAACCTACTGCATAATATCCTTTTAAGGAATACATTACATAAAATCTGTTTTTTTTTTTTAAAGATAAAAGTCAAAATGACATTCTGTTGGCAATACAATGTAAAATTGTCAATGCTCTCAATTTTTTTTATGTAGAAAAGGCTTGTGTTGCCAACATAGCTACTAAATTTTTGACTTGGGGAATTATCTTTAAAAAAAAAACACACTTTATATACACATACTTCTTATCTGCGGTACGACTTTTGACGTTTCTACACATAAGTACCTACACACTTAAGAAGGTATTTTTAACTGCTTACAATGATGGTCTTGGTCTGTGTCTGGCATGACCTGTAATTCTTAATAATTACTTAATAGGTAGATAGGTACAATGTGGAGCCTATATTTAAATTAAAACAGAAGCCAGAATCAGAAAAGAGAATTAATGCTTGAAATGTGGAAATGTCTACTTGACTATTTATGAGGCTTTTGAATTCCTTAGCTTTTTATAAACAGTAGGTATACAACACTGCATGTGTTATTGTAAATTGGAAACGATGGCGCGCGATATCGTTTAAATTTCCATACACACGACAAACACGATTTTCAGATACCTACATATTTTCGTTTTAACGAAACAT